CCAGGCAGCTTTCAGCAGCAGATGAAGACCCGCTCGTCTTTAAACTCTCAAGTTTCCCAAACTGCAGCTTCACACGTGCTTCGCCTCACTACTATTTCCACTTCCAACCGGTCTTCTGGCATATTCAAAGGGGGAAAGCTTGCCTTCTGCACATTTCTGTGCGTGTTTTCAAAAGTGCACACTTTTCTAATATTATCGAGACATCCAGGCATTGCAACCGTTTCTTTGAAAACGGTCTGCTGCTCGCGGTCATGATGGCGTTGGATAATGTGCGGATCTGCTGAAGTTCTGGCAGGGTCCCGTTTAAACGCCTTCGCGAACACTGGCCCGGTTTCATGGCGCCCTCTGCTGGCCCACCGAGGAACTCCCAGCCTCCGGAAAGAGCTGGAGAGCTGCTAAAGACCGAGTCGGGCAGTTCACACATTGCAAAACCCCCTAAAAACCAGTGTGGGGTAGTGGTTAAGAGCGCGGAACCGGGACTCAGGCGACGTGGGTTCTACTCCCCACTCAACCATGGAGCCAACTGAGTGACTTTGGGTAGCCTGTTTGTCCCAACTATAGAAATTGAAGAGGTTACTTTGGAGGAGCTGACCCTTGAAAAGCAATGCTTGTTTAGGCAGAAAAGAGTCCTCAGCATGGCTGGACAGGGAAGGCTGGGAGTCATAAGCCATTTTTCTAGCTAAGCAAGCGGAAGATTCTGCCCTTGCTCTGGGCAGGTAAGCTGAACTTTCTCCTCCTTGCTTGCTCCCAAGAGGACAGGATGCTGTGAGCTGGAAGTGGCGTTCAGGAGACAGATCTCTACAGCTGCAAAAATGGTCGTAGCCACTCCTGCCAATGGGCGTGAGCAGCTGCAGCTCTTCTGGAGAAACTGCTAAGACTGATCATTGTGCCTTAATTGAAAAAAGAATTATCTATTTGAACTGCGGCTTAATTGAAAGCAGTTCAGCCCACAGAAGAAGAACCTGCTCTATAGCCTTCCAGCCCAGTCTCACCAACACAACCATTTTTTCTCATCACTGTTGTCTGAACTCCTGCAAACTCTCACAGAGGAAGAACCTGCTCTATAGCCTTCCAGCCCAGTCTCACCAACACAGACTGGCAGCAGCAGCAGCTCTCAAGGTTCCAGGAAGGTTCTTTCCCAGGGGAATGAAACGAGTGAGCTTTGCCTGGAAAGCAGGGCTCTGCCGTGCAGCTGCAGACGCCATGTTCCGTGTCGAGCTGACTGCTGACTTGTGCGCTCCAAAGCAAGATGCGGCCTCTGCAACAGCCTTCTCCCACCTGGGGGGTTCCAGGTGTGTGGGGGCCGGCACCCCCATTCCCAGCCAACAGGCCACTGCTGCCTCACACATCTGGCACCAGAGCAGGGGCTGGTCTCCGGGGTTGGCCCCCCCAGTGCTGGCTTGTGGGCCTTGGGCTGTCTTGAGGAGCAGAGGTAACTGCGTGCTGGGCAGCCTTGGGAAAGGGCCGTGTGTCCTCCTGCCCTTCTTTGTGGCTTCCCAGAAAAAGCAACGGGATGGAAGTGCTCTAGCCGGGCCCTGCTCTTATGTGCTTATTCATCCAAAGCATCTTTATCCTGCCCTTTAGCCTAAAAGGTACCCAGAGCGGCTTGCAACTTAGGAAATGAGAGTCCCAGCGAATCCCGGCTCTGAATTCCTGGCTTTGTGCCACTTGATTTAGCGAACTGCCCTGGCCAGGAGCAGCTTTTGTGCTGCTTCAGTCTGCTGGGGGCTGCTGGGGGGCGGCCAGTCTACTCAGCAGCCCAAGGCCACCTTTACTGGGCTCAGGCATCAGGGCCAGCCATGCCTGGGGAAGGTAATCAGGTGAGCTGGCCAGCACGTGCTGCTCCCAGATAATGCAGAAAAGCTGTTGTCTGGAGAGCGCTTCCACCGGATCTTTTCGGCGGCCTCCTCTGGCTGGCAGCCACAGGCCAAGAGCCCAGGAAACGGGGGGGGGGGGGGGCATTTGACCTGGAGCTGCCGGCAAACGGACCCTGCGCTCCACTGCCAATCTCCAGTCTGTCCTGCCAAGCTTACGAGATCTTATGATGCTCACCATTTCCAACATGGGAAAGCAGAATCACATGCCCCTTCTCGGAGCACATGATGACCTTCTGATAGCCGAGACGAAGCACACAGCTGGGCCGGGTGGCGCGTGGGAGGAAGGAGCTGACCAGGAGAAGCACAAGGACACTCAGGGCAAGTTGGGAGAAGTGCGGAACAGCCCAGCCCCAAGGACAGAGAGACCGGGGCAGCCCCCACCAGGGAAGCACTTCAACAGCTGGGCCTGCTTAGCCTCGAAAGGGGGCGAGGAAGAGGAGGCAGTCGAGGGGTGCAGAACCATGCCTCTTGTGGAGAACGCAGAGTGAGGGCAGCTTTCTCCCTCTCTCATCGTTCCAGGCCCCAAAGAGGTTGTGGGTGGGAGATTCTGGGCAGGAAACAGAAGCCCTTCTTCCCACAGTCCGGAGCCACATGACGGAGCTCGCGTCTGGGGGACTGGGGCACACACACGAACGAGGTGGCTTTCCGGGGCTGCTAGCCCAGATGCTGCTTCTGGTGTTGGAGGCCAGGAGCCCACGGACCCAGCTGCTGGGGAACATGGATGAGGCCGTGCTGCATCCGAGTCCTGCTTGTGGGTTTCCGGAGAGCAGTAGCGCAGCCAGGGCTTGAACAGGATGATGGATCAGGTGGATCGATTCCACCTGGGCTGTTCTGATTCCTGACTCTGATCACTTGCCCTCCAACAACATGCTCAGGGGCAATCCCCCTTCCTCATTGCACCAGGCTGGCTGGGTGTGATGGGTATTGTAGTTCAACAAAGTTGGAGATCAGGGCATGGGGAAGCTGGTTTATTTCAAACTGTTGGAAAAATTCAGATCAGTCCTGGCAGAAAAAGTTTGCTTATATGTGCCTTTGTGTTATAAAAAAATACCTGCACCCCTTTCTCAGAAAGCACCAGAATTCCAAGCCAGGTCATTGTCTAGTGCTGCTGTCCCTTAAGAAGTTGGAATGCTTAACTGGACCGAGAAGCTGCTGGAGGCTGGCACTATCAGAGAGGACAGGACTGTGTTCTCATCAGCTGCAGAAAAACTGAAACAATGGTGTCCATTTGTTTCTGAAAGGAGTCACCTAAGCATCTAGTCCCACAGAGGCAAGTGCCTGCACAGTGTAGTTGCCAAACCAGATTTCCTGAACGGTTCCTCAGTTAGACACATTTTAGCAGGATCCAAACTGCAAAGAAATCGACTGGATTGACATGTCAATAAAGCAATCAGTATTTCTGATCGGGTTAGAACATTACGCCATGCCTAAAGACATCAGGATGCGATTGTACTAAGCTTTTTGGAAACGTAACACTCTGCACTGGGGTATGTGACTAGCAGGTTATAAAAGTGTCTGTACAAGGGCTGTGATTTCGTAGTTGGCGGTGAGGACCACGGCCCAGGATCCTGCTGTCGTACGTCACTGCAGGGGGCCTGGGGGATCTTTCAATAAAACCACTGAGGTTCAAGGCGAAGGGGGTCTTCCCTGCCTGAACCCGGGTATCCCTGTCACGGCTGCCATCAAGACTTCCCGGCAGAAGGAAAGGCATTTTGCTTTCATGTGCCTTGAGGGTTTAGGGCTTGCCACAAGTAGCGGAGGGCAACCCAGGGCCTCAAGGGTCCGAAGTCTGCACAGCTCCGCTGCAGCGCCCGCTGGGTCCTCTTCGCCTCAGACCCTCCATCAGACCCTCCATCAGCAAGGCAAGGCTAGGAATTTAGGGCTGGCCCGGCAAAAAGGAAGAGAAACGCCTCTGCCACCGTTTCACCTCTGATACCGAACATGAAGCAAAGGTTGCTCACAGCTTGCCCTGAGGAACGCGGGAGCCACGGAATCGCTGCCTGGAGGACGTGAAGCTGGAATCTCGTGTCTCGGGTTTGATTAAGGTTTTATCATGAAATTGCCCCGTCCTGTTTGTGGGGCTTGCGGTCTAGACAAAGTCGTTTCTGGCTCTGACCCCCACCCCAATTTTCCCACCCCTCCTCTTCTAGTTGTACAAGATCTTTTAACTGGCTGTGCTAGTGTGAGAGTCGTGTGGCACAGTGGTTAGAGAGCAGCGCTGGGACTCAGGAGATCCAGGTTCTGGTCCCCGTCCAGCCACGGAGCCCACTGGGCGACTCGGGGCCAGTCACAGACTCAGTCCAACCTACCTCACAGGGTTGTTGTTGTGAGGAGTAAACGGAGAGAGGGAGAACCTCGTCAGTCGCCTTGGGTTCCTTGCAGAAGAAAGAATAGCAGGATATGAGCATCATGTGATACTAATAATTGCACGGGGTACCTTCCATCTGGGAGCAGACGTCTGCATGTAACAGCCCTTTCAGAAGAATAAAGGAAGCGGCAGCTACGCTTAGCTCAGAGGGGGAGAAAAGGGACTGGAGAAAATTAGGAAGTGAGGCAAGGAACCCAGACCGGAGGATGCTCCCGATGGAGGGCTTCCAGCACTGCCACTCCACCAGCACGGTGCACCGGCTCTGTCCTTTGCGCTGGGATGGATTCCCAGCATCAAGAGAAAAGTTGGAAGATGTGGGGGACACGGGCATGCAAGGAGACGACGTCACAAAGTCCCTCACCTGCCACGGAAATATTCATGAGTTGGGTCCTGGATTCCCGAAGGAGCGCCTTCTTCCCTGTGTGCCCACCCACCCCTTGAGATCCGGGGTGGAGGTCCTGCTCCAGGAGCCCTCCCTGAAGGAGATTAGGAGGGTACTGCAGCTACTCGGAGAAGGGCCTTCTCTGTGGTGGCGCCCCGACTTTGGAACACGCTCCCCAGGGAGGTTTGCCTGGCGCCGTCATTTTATTCTTTTCGGCATCAGGTGAAAACCTTTTTATTTTCCCAACATTTTAGCATTTAATTGGTTTTAGCTTTGATTTTTATCGTTAATGGTCGGACGCAGCGTGTGGCTTGCAGGTATGTTGTTGGTTTTTGTTTTGTGTAAGCCGTCCAGAGACTCTGGTATTGGACGGCATATAAAAATGTTAACTAAATAGATAGTCTGGCTGAGGGTGTGATGAACATTTCAGCCGAAAGCACAGGAAGAGTCAGAGCAGCAGTGCTGCCACGGTCCCGGGAAGGTGGCAGCGAGGACAACGAAGGCACTGCAGTGTTGCCAGGATGTGCTTCCTTGTACAGACCCCGTTTTTCAGCATCCTCTGACCTCGGGACTGCTCCCCTCCAGGGTGGTCCTCGGTTCCCTCTGCCCTGCCGGCTGACCCAGCTTGCGTGTGCTCGGCAAAGCGTTGCAGGAACGTCCTGAATCCCTGCCAGCATCGGCGAGGCGAGCAAAGCCAGCTAATGCACTGCCATGGGTTCGTCATAGGACCTCTGGCCCGCTGTGGGCTCACGGGATGTCCTGGCTGCATCCCAAAGGAGAGAGTGGTGGGGCTGGCTGGGGGGGGGCGGGGGGAGCCGGGCCTCGCTGGGCCGCTCCCCCAGCCGTCACAGCCCGGCTCCCGGGTGCATCACCAGCTCAGCAGCCAATGGCAAGGCCCCAGGGGAGCAGGGCTCTCGCTGTGCATAAAAAGGTGTCCTGCAACACAGAGAGAAGCAGTGCAGAAAGCTTGCCACGAGTCTTGCACACCCGGCCCCCCGACTCCCTCCAAGCCTCTTCTCACCTGCAGTCCAGGATGCAGCCAGAGCACCTCAGGTGAGTAGCACACGGGGCTGCTTCCTCTCCCTCCCCCAGCTCCACGAGTGTGCGATTTCTGGAGCAAGCTCCAGGCGTGTTCCTCAGCTTGGAAGCAAAGTTCTCCGGAAGAACAGAAGAGCCGCCCCACTGGACTGGATGAAAGTTCCCCCCGAGTGTGGGACACAGTACAAAGGTCTAAGTTATAGGCAGCCAGATTCCAGCTGCACACCGGGAACAATTCCCAACTTTTAGAGAGGTACTGCAATGGAAGCAATGGCCTAGGGAGGCTGACGGCTCTCCCACACGAGAGGCATTCAAGATGCACCTGGAGAGCCACCCACCCCCTCAGACGGCTGTCCTGCATCGAGCAGAGGGGTGGACCTGATGACCTTCTTGGCCCCTTCCACTCTACCATGATCCTCTGAGCGAAGCCGAAGCCGAATGGGTAGATCAGCTTTCCCCCGCCTCCTGCACTAACCTGGGGAAACCTGGGTCATCCCCTGAGGGATCTAAAGTCATCGGCTACCCCGCCCAGCCTTCCCTGCCCCTTATCTGTCCCGGTAGCTGGTGGATGGAGGGATGAATCTCCCAACAGCAACCTACTGTCCCTTGTCCCAGCGCAAAGACGAGGAGGGTGACCGACCTGTTCCTTCAGACCTGGTGGAGATGGGAGCCACCAGAACTGGGTACGTGGGATTTGGTACTTGCCTTTGGCCATGTGGCGCTGCAGTGCGGGACCCTCAATGCACCACTGCTTGGGGAATTATTTAAATCCTCCAGCCAGGAGCTCCACGCTATGCAGGTCTCTGCCCCCCCCCCCCCCCCCAGCTGCAGGGTTTGGGGTCAAGAAAAAAAGGGGGATGCTTGGCTGGAGCAGCTTTCTGTGGCTTGGCACCATCCAGATGTTTTGGAACTGAACTCTGATTAGCCCCGGCCAGCATGGAAATTCCAGGAATGCTGGAATGGGGAGGCCACCGGCTTGGGGAAGATTGGTATTTTTTTGTACTGCGCAGCAAAAGACACTTCAAAACCACGTCCAAGTTGCTGGAGACGAGGGACAAATTCGTCAAATAATAGCTCGGGATTCACAGTCTATGACCGAATCTTTCTTGCACCTACTGTAAATGATGCGACTTTGTACCTGAGTATTTTAGTGGTTAATGTTTTGCTGTTTTCTCTGCCATGAAGAAGTGCAGTTGACTGAGCCTTCACAAAAAAGAGGTTACTTTTCAACTCTTTGGAGTGCTCTCCCTCCCCTTCACAAAGCGTAATGGTAAAAGGGCTGGCTTGGGGGATACTTTGCCTCCCCACACGGGAGGGCGGCTTGTTTGTTTTCCATGTCTGTTTAGGGGCAGAGGGCAATACCTCTGATGCCCCACCCCTTCATGGCAGGGCAGGGAATAGGCTCGTAGGAGGCGGCTGGATACAGGGCCAGGGATGGCTATCCGTAGCTACTGGTCCTCAGGACTATTGGCTACCGCCAGTATTAGGGTCAGTTTGGCTAAGTGCAGCAGCTGCTGGGGAACATGGTGGGGGAGGTTCTGTTGCATTCCTGCCCTGCTTGTGGGACCTGTGGGCAGCTGGTTGAGCACTGGGGGGACAGAATGCCAGACCAGATGGACCCTGGTCCTGATCCAGAAGGCTCTTTACGTGTCCTTACACTATGAAGAGCACAGCTTCTGGAAAATCCTAAAGCAGAGAGGCACTGTGATTGATAGCAAGCCAGGGGAAACGTGCTCCAACGGGGACATCTTCAGAAGGTGTTAAAAACTCACCATGTTTTTGGACTCCTGCACTACCCAGGAGAGGGTGGCCCAGAGGACGGGCACCACTGCAAAAGTCCTCAGCTGGGATGTGACGTAGAGACTTTTCCTTGGCTGTGCAAGGCCTAAAGTCTAGGAAGTCCCATCTTCGGCGGCTCTGCGTTCCCCGGTGTGTCGCTCGGACTCCGCTCGGTGCCAGACGTGGCCTGGGGCAGAGCCCGGCTTCAGCTTCGCTGCTGCTCTCGGATTCTCTCTCGACAGTTTCGAGCGCTGCAGAGAGACGGCGGACTGGCTGCTCGCTCGCACCAGGCAGCGGCCCAGAGTTGCCATCGTCTGCGGCACCGGCCTGGGCCCCGTCGCCGACAGCTTGGAGCCCCAGGAGTCCTTCCAGTACACAGACATCCCCAACTTCCCACGCAGCACAGGTACTGCTCACCTGTACCTGCCACCCCCATGAGGTGCTGCGCTTCGCCGCCTTCCAGGGAGGCCGGAAAGAGCCCTCCCCGCTAGGAAGGGGCTTGGTCCTTTTGTGAGTATGGAACCGGATAAAACTCAGCCAAACCAGACCTCCGTGTATTTCAAAGCCTGTTCAGGAAAGTTGCGGCTGCAGTCCTTTGCACAAACTTCCTGGGAGTAAATCCCACTGAATTCCATGGATATTACACCTGAGTAGACATGTCTACAAGAACTGCTGCTGGGGCTTCAGCCCGTCAGCCAGACCTTTCCCTGCTGAGCGTGTGTGTTGGACTACAACCCCCCAAATCCCCTCGCCAGCACAGGGCGGAGGAAAGCCCACCCAAAGCCCACATCTTTGCCTGCTCGCCTGCCCGCTGGAGCTGATGGTGCATGAAGCAGAAAGAAACATTACAGCTCAGTTCTATTTCACCAGGCTGGGTTGGCTGTCAGCTCCGCGCCGGGCATTTTTCACACATGACAGTAAAACCCTCCTTTGCATTCCCCAGATCTGTCATGTAAGGAAAAGCCTCCAGCAGCGAGAATCTACCTTGGGTTTAAAAATAGCTCTCTACGGGGAAATGAGCACATGGAGCCCTTATGACGCTGGATGGAGCGCATGTGAGCATAGATGGTAGTCACATCTAAGTAGGAAATGGAGCTTGTCTCTGTTTATGAAGCAGCTCCGTGTTTATGGGAGGCGACACACACATGCGCACACACGCACACACACACACACTGGAGAAGTAACCCAGTTAACAAGGGGAGGCTAGAGACAAAAGGATCACAAAGAAATCCAGAATGCAGTGCAGACGGAATCATCACTGGCTGCCTTTGTCCATGCTTAGTGAAAATGCAATTTGCACATGAATTACAAAGACCGGCGTGGTGGGGGATGGGCAAGATTTTCAGTCATTAAACTCCCATTTAGGGAATATCAGCCATTCATCCTGGACTATTAACAAGCAGTCTGCTTCACAATGGATTTTTTTTCCAGAGAAAAACCAGTTTTGAATATCATCTTGATTTATTTGCATGCACTGAATTTGGCTGCGGCATGAACCACACGCTGAAAGAGCAATTATGCCATTTAAAGTCCTCTGGAGTTCAGTGGGACTCAGAACCTCCCAGCAGGTTCTTTAACTGGGAGACACCATGGGGTGTGCAAGTCGGTCCAGTTGGGTTGATTTTATTGGGTTCAATAACATTTTGTAGGTCACATGATACAATGGAGAACTTGGCTAGTTCCAGCAACAAGAGAACTTCTTATTCCAACTGGCCTTCCCCAGTCCAGCGGGGGCGATCCGGTGTTCATCCAACTCACCTGCAGGGCACCAACGGGGGAAGCCACTCTCAGCCCTCCTCCTCCCCTCCCACCCAAGAAAACTTGCCAGGGAATGGGGAACCCGGGAAGGAACCCGTGATGGCTGCCTCCGGTTTGGTTGCGTCAGGACAAACAAGAGCAAAAGCTCTGCCATAATATGGCTGCTAAAAGCCCCAAAGTGCAAGAATCGGCTTAAGGTGCGCCGCCTGATCTGACCAGTCTTGCTCCCCAGGGTATGCCTGAGAAATGCTGATAGCCCACCTGCCTGGAAAGTTCCTTCCCTCTTTTGCTTTCCTGTACCTCCAGCAAAGAGCCTACGTGACCCCCGCCCGCAAATGTATACACAGCCCATAGGCTGTAAAAGTGTCTTGCACAGACTCCATCTTGGAAGCCCCTTTGGGGGCTGTTTACATGCCCCATGTATTTCCCATATCTCTGAATAAATTGCACACCCTCCGTGGACTCTCTGCTTTTTCTCGTCTGTTGCAATTGAATCTTACAGTTTGGCCCAGGGCTTTCTTTATAGAGGCCGTTATAGTCCAGCGTGGTGTAGCCCGGGAGCTTGTTTTCCGTGACCCCAAACACAGGAAGCATTAAAAAGACGTGAGGCAATGTGGTTGTCCCCTTCTCCTTCCCCCGCAGCAGAAGGAACGTAGGAAGGGACCCTGTCCTGGGTCTGATCTTTGTTCCCGCAGCCCTGTATTCTCAGCGCTGGCTGGCAGCCGCTTTCTGGGATGCCTCCTTCAGCCTCACTGGGAGATGTGGGAAGCACACATGCAGGAGAGCCTCAGACTTTGGGGCACTAATCCAGAACCGTCTTGCTCTCCAGTGACAGGCCACGACGGACAACTCATCTTTGGAGAGCTGAGAGGCAAGCTGTGCGTTGTCATGAAGGGCCGCTGCCACATGTATGAAGGATACCCCCTTTGGCAGGTGGGTGTGTGAGCGGATGCGGAATTCGTTTCTCTGCTGTAGGGTCGGCTATGAGCTTTGGTGGCCAAGTGGGGACGAGCCGGAGTCCCCCAGCTCTGAGTTCACCGGGTACTTAACTGCCACTCCAGCTTGGTTCTCCCAGGAAAGACTTGGCTGGACGGGAGCAGGGGCCTCGCGGGTGGAAAGCTGCGTGCCAAAGCCGATGGGATAGTTTCCGTGCCTTTTCCAGTCTGACTGACGCGGGGGGACCAGTTTCATGGGGAGAGTTTTTCTGATAGTTGTCGTTGAATATTCCAGCTAGTTTTCCATGCTTATCATTACGATTGTTTGTTCCTCCTCTGTAAGCCGCTCTGAGTTGTGCGAAAGTGACATGCAAAGATTTTGAATTGACAGAAGACAGAAAGGTGCAGAGGTTGTTCTCTGAGGAAGCATCAGAGTCATCCGGGCGCTGCTTTTGTGCACTGGCCACTTCTCCAAGCAGTGAGAAGCTGCCGGAGCGGCATTCTGTGGCTTACTTTCTTGCAGACAGAGGGGCACAGGAGATGTCGGGTCTTTTTGCAAGATTTGCGCATTCACAAATGGACAATGTGTCTGTGAGTGGAGGTGCACAGGCAGCCCTGCGCTTTAGCACATGCCCCGAGAAAGCTCGTGCAGGCTCATACGCCACATTTCCAGTTCTCTCCCGGCCAGTGGCTTCCCACTGATTAAGTACCGATCAAGCATCCGGGACTGGTTCACCAGTGAGCTTCCTAGCAAAGCGACACGAATAATGCCTTTGAAATACTAGGCGAGATTTGGGTGACTTCTTCCCTTGAAAAAGGTCAAAATGCCTCCCTTTAAAGGGCAATCTATAAGCTGATCAGGGAAAAAAGATTAGTCGAAGAATACTGTTTGTTCATTTAAAGAGTATTGGTGTGGAGGTGGGAAGGGCCACTTGCTCGGTTATCTTTTTAAAAGAGATGGGATGGCCTGGGGGGGAAATTGGGAAAATCCATTTCCTCCAATGTCTGTACCTGCCAGACCTTCGCATCTTTAGTAAGAGCTGCAGTGCAGTGTGCTTATCACACCTGCGGACTTGAGACCGAGTGGGCCGGGGACCTAAGTGCAGGTGATATTCCAGTTCTAAGCAAATGCTGAAGGGGACCTGATGTCCAGTCGCCTGATGCACACGTTTCCTCCTGTCCACATTGCCAGGTCACCTTTCCGATTCGGGTGTTCAGGCTCATGGGCGTTGAGACACTGCTGGTCACCAACGCCGCGGGCGCCTTGACCGACTCATACAGCCCCGGAGACCTCATGGTAATCTGTGACCACATCAGCTTGCCAGGCCTGGCCGGGCAAAGCCCGTTGGTGGGCCCCAACGATGAACGGTAAGTGCCGAGCGGCAGCCTGGCGCTGTGGAGGCACGGGGAAGCAGCTGATGTCCAGAGCCAAAGCGCAGGGCCCTCTAGGCCGGTACTGCTTACTCTGGCTGGCAGTCGCTCTCCAGGGCCCCAGGCAGGGAATCTTTTCAGCCTGCAACTCTGCAGTCCTCAGCCCTGGCCCTGGCCCAGGAAGCCAGCGTTTGCCTACTGGCGTCTCACCTTTCTGAAAACCCATTCTGGGCAGCCAACCCAAATCTGCGTGGCTTATTTGATGTAGATTAAATGGGTTTCTGGAACTGGGGAGGTTCCGTTTTGCACCGGCCAGCAGGCAAGTTTCTGGCTAGCTCCCAGCACGCTGCGTGGGCATATAGGGTGCACCGTCGCATGGTTTTATCAAGCTAGAGACTGGGCTGCCCGGGGCAGGTCAAGCGGACGGGGCGAAGGGACACTGATAGGATTTGGGCTTCACCTGCCTTGAGACCACTCAGCTTTAGTTCTTGGGCCACAGGTACTGGTCAAAGCAGCTGCGAGGTCTGCAGAGCCAGGGCCCTTTTTATTTCAGTAAAAATCTGAACAGTATTGGGTGTGTGGGGGGGGGGGATTATTCCTTCCTGTTCCTGAAGCTGCCACCAATCAGCTGTTCAGGAGGCAAGAGGAGAAGGACAAGGTCCTTCCTGGACCTACCAAATCTTCCACCCCCATGGGGCGTTGCGCTTTGTGGATGCTCTCTCTCCGGCCCCACTGCCTCGCCTCCCTATTTCTCTCCCCACACCACTCCTCCTCACGGTTTCTCCGCACACCTGGCCTCTGGCTTTGCTCTTCCTGTCGCCTCTGCCTCTTCACCGGGTCATTCCTCCCCTTTCCTAGCCTCTAGGCTCAGTGGGTCTCCCTCCTCCGCCCCTTTTGACTAGCCAGCCTCTGCGGCAGCCATTGCAGGCCTGGCCTCGTCCTCCGGGAGAGCCATTTTGCAAGGATGCCCAAAGCGGCTTCGGAATGCAAGAAACGTCAGAGCCACAGGCAACGTGGCTGATCACGGAAGGGCTCCGTGGGGGCCTGGCTAGTTAAAGGTGAGCTAAAGAGGGCAGAAATCGCACGTCTAGAGGCTGGGAGGGGTGGGGAGAGAGCCAAGCAACGGCGTAGAGAATGGTGAAGCCAGAGGCTAGAAAAGGACAGAAGGAAGGCTGGCCTGGCTGCTCCCAAGGGTTTTGGAAGCTGCTTTTTTGAACAGGCAAGGAGGGGAAATTTTGTGGGTGCGCCTGGAGATCCCTGCGGAGCTGTGGGCACTGCCTTGGGGACCAGAGGGCCTTCGAGGGCCCCCGCAGACCTATGCTTTGCTCCGGCCCGATCTCGTTCCGAGTCATGATGCCAGCTCTCCTTTCGACCCTCCCCGCCCCAATCTTTCTTCAGGTTTGGGCCCCGCTTCCCAGCCCTTTCTGATGCGTACGACAGGAGGATCCGCACTTTAGCCAAGGAGACGGCCAAGCATTTGGGATACACGTCCATCGTCAGAGAGGGAGTGTATGCGATGGTCGGAGGGCCCAGCTTCGAATCTGTCGCGGAAGCCCGCCTGCTGCACGCACTGGGCGCGGATGCTGTGGGTAAGAAATGGTCCCAGAGCAGGAACCAAGGCTCTCAGCAACACACACTGCCCTACACGCCCCCACCCCCCCGCCACAGGCTGGCACCTGCATTCCAGTCCACACGCAAGAGGAGATGAGACAGAGGTGTGAATGGACGAGGAAACATTTTTCTGCCTCTCTCCTAATACTACAAGCCAAACGGTGCATCTCCTGCTGTGGAGCGGTGGGAGAATGAGCACAGATAAATGAGCACAGATGAAAAGAAGGCCTTTTTCGGATGAGTTCTGGAATCCACTGCCCCGGGAAGCAGTGACGCTCGCCAGTCAGGATGGCTTTAAAAGGGGATTGGGCAAATTCTCGGAGGAGAAGATACGTAGCTACCAAGACCTGCAAGTTCTCACGGCAACAGACTACTTTCAGCATTTAATGCAGTAACCCATTTACACCAGTGGCTGGGGAACATGGGCTAGAGGGTGCTGTTGCACTGAGGGCCTACTTCCGGGATCCTGGTTGGCCGCTGTGAACAGGGTCTTGGTCGGACCCAGCATGGCTCTTCTGAGGTTCTCAATTCACTTGATTTTATTACGACAATTAATTTGTTATAATTCGTTATTTGTTTTTCGGCGCCAGGCGAAGTCCTTTTTATTTAAGCGGCATTTTAACTGTTAATATTATTGGATTTTATCTGGCCAGGGCGGCTTATTTTATATTGTATTTTTGTATTTTTAATTTAATGTTTATATTTTTGATTTAATATTATAATTATTTTAATTTACTGTTGTAAGCCGCCCCGAGGCTTCGGCGAATGGGGCAGCATAAAAATGTTTTAATAAATAAATTAAATAAATAAATACATTTCTTTATTTATTTACATATCTTTATACATTCTGCCCTTTCTCCCCACAAAAGCCCCTGGCAGCATCCATGCTCCTGTTCTCTGCGTTATCCTCACAAGAATGATGCGGGGCAGGCGAGACTGAGAGTCGCTTTCCATTTCCTTTTAGGAATGAGCACAGCAGCAGAGGTAGTTGTGGCCAGGCACTGCGGACTCCGCGTCTTCGGCCTCTCTCTCGTCACCAACATGGTGAGCAAGGACTACGACCCTGAAGAGAGCGTGGACCATCACAGTGTGCTGGACGTGTGCCAGAGAGGAGCCTTCACCCTCCGGACGTTCCTCACGGAGCTGGTGGGCAGGCTGGACTGTAGCAACAGCAGTGACCCGAAAGACACCGAGACCTCTTACCAAAACGGAGCCTAAAACCCGCTGTGGCTGCTGGCATTGGATCCACTGGGCAGAGACCATGACGTGAGCGGCAAAGGGGAGATGCACTCACTGGAATCCAAACGGAGTTTGTGTGCAGGGTCCAAACTCCTCACTTCACCTGTTCCGACACCAGCTACCAGGTGTGGAAAGATTTCTGACTTCTTTGCTTTGTTATGATTTACCCTTTCCTTCTATAGTTGTGCAAACCTGTGGATCCTGAGAGCCACACATAAGTTTACTGCTCTCCTTAAAATACGCACAATAAAGGCATGTTTTAAAGCAACACATTTGTACATTTCTGTGCTTCCCAGAGAACCTGGGAACTCTGTGGTGGTGTCATGTATTTTGAATGGAAAATGTTTAGGATCATACACAAACAATATACAATTTAGTCTGATAGAAATATCCGAAGCGTTTCCTGTTCTAGGAGTTGTGGCAACCAAACTGCTTTCCATTCAGGCTTCTCCATGTAATATCCTGCAAGCGTTGTCCCACTAGCACAACCATGATGGATGCTGGGGGTCATAGTTCAGCCCCATCCAAGGCCCTGTGTTCCTTCCAAATTGGTGAGGAAGCAGCACTCACGTGGCCTTCCTTGAGCTGGCACCCTCCAGATGTGTTGGACTACAAGTCCCATCAACCCATGCCCAGCATGTTCTGATCTGTGCAGCGCCTAACACCACTTGACCCTAAAATCAAAAGGCAAGGAGAGGCCCCGCCTGGTCTAATCATCCGCACGTAACCCACCATCAAATTTGGTTTACAAAGTGGGATCCGAAGAATTTCAAAAGGAAGAAGAAAAGGGGGCCACATCACCGCTCGAACAATTTTCTCAGATTGGTTCCTCCCAGATGGGTCGGACGACAACTCTTGGGAGGGACCCCATAGAAGAGGCGGAGGATACTGGGAACTGCAGTCCAACCCAGCTGCATGGGCCGCTTTAGCAACACGCGCTACAGCTGCGCGCCCACCGCGCGCTCCAGGGCACCCCAGCCCGGACTGTGCGCATGCGCGGGCCGGGGACACAAGGGCCCTCCCGGCTTCCGTACCTCCGGCCGTCGCCATGGGGACGGAGGCCGCGCCGGGCGCTTCCCCGGTTGCTAGGAGACGCCGGGAAAGAGCGGCGGGTGGCGGCAGGTAACCAGGTCGGGGCGGCCTGCGGGCGGGGTTGAACCCCCGAGGCGGCCTTCCGGATGCGTGGGACTACAACTCCCATCGTCCCCCAGGCAGCTTGGCCCTCGCAAGAGGCTAGGGTCTCGGCGAGCCTGACTCCGCAGTGCTCTCATGCCCCGGAGGGGGCGGGCAAGGAAGAAGGGGCCCGCCGAGAGGCGGCCTGACTGCAACTCCCATCATCCTTCATCCCTTTGCTGCCTAGTGCGACCAGGGTCGTCCCACTTGTTTCTTTCTGTGGTGTAGCTAGAGATGCCCACTTCGTCTCCCCGTGCAAGGGACCCAACGGGGCTTTGCCCTCCCCTCCATTGCGTCCTGACAACAACCCCGTGAGGGAGGTCAGGTTGAGAGTCTGGCTGGCTCGAGGTCACCTGGGGCGCTTCATGGCCAAGCGGGGATTAGAACCTGCATCTCCCCGGGCCAAGTCTAATACTAATACTCTAACCACTGTGCGACTATGTGTGTGAACCTGGAGGGACAATTTTCTCAGATGGGTTCCTCCCAGGTGGGTCGGACGACAGCTCTTGGGAGGGACCAAGCGATGAGCAAAGAATGCTGCGTTTTAAAGGGGAAAATGTGTTAAGTACTCCTCTCTTGTCCTAGAGGGATCTGCCGTCTTTACAGCTGTTGAGTTTTTCCTCAGTGCTGTGCTTCTTTTGCAGCGTCCCTCACCCGCTCGAAAATGCCTTTCAGGAATTCCAAGAGTGTCATCAGCACCTTAAAACAAGTGGTGAGTCCCAGTTTTGTTCTGCCTTGAGCACGTGCAAATAAGTATGTGTGGGAGAGTTGCATGAATGAATTCTTGTGCATTTGGTGGAAACAAAGGGACAGCGTTGCAATGTTGACATCTAGAGGCGGATTACCATCTTAGGGCTGACAGTGTTGGCATGTTCGTTCTTTGCACTTGTCACAAATGGCCATTGAAAAGCAGCTGTATTTTTCAAGGGTATGCAGTCAGTGGGCTTGTGTGCCTGAGAATACATGCACAGCAAAAATTACCTATCCGCTCCCTTTATTATGTAAATAATAAGGGCAGTGGTGCTTTAGGACCCGAGGAGAGAAGGAGCTTCTTGGCTGGCAATCTGTAGAGTAGGAGGGATGTGGGGTTGCCGCAGCCCATGGCATGAGGTTGGTTTTGGAGCCCGGTCAAATAACTGGTTAAACACGATAATGTTCTTGTTACATAGAAGGCTGCAGAACTCTGAGGTAAGGATGGCCTGGTATGAGTGCAGCCCATCTTTTCATTGCATTATGGATCCCTTGACTGAGGGTCCCTTGTTCCCAGCTTTGCACGATTTGGGGTAAACTCCCTCCCACCCTATTATTTATGCAGCAGTACCCCCTCCCCTGCTGTTCTCATGAGAGCGCTTCTGCCCTCCCCATTCAAAATCACAGCCTAGAGTTTTTTCCTGGTGTAGCTGTTGAACTTCTGAACTTGAGCATTTGGGTGGAAGAATGAGAGAACCACAAGCCCTTGGTGTGGTGACCCAGACGGAGATTGTTGGCTCATCGAAACCTTACATGGTGGTGACCGTACTGGAGTTGCCATGCACACGCACCTTTGGTGAACACAGCACAGACACGCAATGCCAGTTCACATAGTTCAACCCTCTTGAAAAGGACCCCCAGAGCTGGCTGGGTCTGCTCTGTGAGGCACGGTCCATGAGACCGAATGCATGCACTAGTTTTCAGAAGCACAGCCTGAGCTCTCACCCAGGTGAGCGGTGGCAGGTGCAGTGGGGTCACTGCCACGCTAGGAAGTAAGCTGAGGTGCAGAGGACAAGATGCTATTGTCCCCAGACAGGCAAGGTAGCATATTCCTTTACAAAAGAGAAGCACTCTGCATGCCCTCAGGAGCACTTTGTGTTTAGGTTGGTTTTTTAGTTGTGGGGGGCAGGAGAAGTTACTGTTCTGCTGAACATTGTCTGCTTGCCTCTTTCTTGTGCTATGTTTAGGATTATAGCCAATGGCAAAGAGAAAATGTCTCTCCGAAACCAACATTTAAATCATCCTTGCCACCTGTTACATTATCGGAATTTAAAAAAGAAGAAGACAAGAAGTTCCCACAGAAGTCAAAAGACAGGAAATCAGGTTGGGAAAGGTGCTGCTTGGATGCCTTCTGGTGTGCCGACGTGCCCCAGTTGCTGGGGAGCCCCGGTGGGGGGGTGCTGTTCTGCTTAAGACCTGCTTGCTGGCCTGATCCTGCATGGCTCTTTTTGCACTCTTATGCCCTGAGAGGGAGCATTGGGTGCTACACCGAATGTTCCTTCATTGGAGGCTCTTGCAGTCCATCTCGTCAAGGAGACTTTCATGTCTTCCTGCGGTCCCTTTTTCCATAATTTCCCGTTGTTACTGCTTTTCTCCCTGCCATGTTTTGCACTGGAGCTGTAAATTGGGCAGTGTCCCAAGGAAATAATGTCGTGTTCTGTTCCAGAGTCGGGAATGGGTTTTGGCTTCAGTTTGAAAATGACAGAGTCTAAGAGACCGAAGCCTTCTTGGCAGCAAACCACAACAAAGGAAATGATGGCGGCAAAAAGCTTGGAGAACGTCAAAATTCTGCAGGTACTTGAAGGAAACGTGAAATTCTGGGATTTGATGCTATTCATACAGACTTGGGGTGATCCTAGTACTAGGTTTGATGACTAGTGCATCTGTGCATATCCAGAATTCAAATGGTACCTTGCAGAGTTTGCAACCAGAAATGCCCACATTTGGTAATGGGAAGCCATGAGTGTGGTGCGAATGAAAGCGCAGAAGGGAAGTGGGGGGTGAAGTGGCATCAGCTGGAGCCGTCCAGGCCTTGTGCATCCTTCAGTGTCTCAGTGGGTGGCAGGCAGTGAACCAGAGAAGAGGTGTACTATTTGTGACCCGCTTTCCTTCAAAAATCCTCAGCGCATTTCCAAGAGCAGGTCCATCAGCCTAGAAGAATTAAAGCGCCATTCCAGTGTTCTCCTGGAAAAGAACAAGGGGCTAGTGAAACAGATCACGGACATGGATGCCGACACCGCCAAGAGCGCCAGGGACCTTCTCCAGCAGTACGATATGTTTGGGGTAAGGCTTGCTTTGCTTCGGGGCAGAGGCAAGATGCTTTGTCGCAGAACGTCCAGATTGTGCCAACGTCTGGGCTCCGGCTTCTTCCAGGCTCAGTCCCAGAGACAGAACTTTCCAGCCACATTCATTGGCCAAGCTTTCCGTATCCTGGATGGGCACTTCAGAAGCAGGTCTCCCAGGAGATTCACAATATATTGAACTTAAAAATTGAAGCAGATCCTGAAATAGCATTGTTGTTAATATTTTGTGGAAAGAAATGAAAATGAAATATTAAAGAATTAATAATAAATTTGGTAGCAGCAGTAAAATTGATAATAGCAAAGAACTGGAAGGAGAAATGGTATCTTCAGTTAATTGAATGGTATAAGGAATATAGCAGCTAATTATAAGTTTGGAATATAGTTTGGAATATAGCAGCTAATTATAAGTTGATGTGTGGGATTAGGGTGAAAAAAAAGAACTGATAAAAAAGAATGATTGTAATGATATTATATGAGGTTTGTTTATTGAATATGGAAGGGCATTAAACCTTCAACAGATGCAGTGCAATTTTGGATGGAAGGGGGTCCTAAAAGAGCGGAAAAATGAAGGAAAAGAAATACTACGCAGCCATGGTCCTGGTAGAGGGGCGCACTAAATGAGATTTTTTAATATATATTTTTCTTTTTTTAGTTCAGAGAGAGAGGAGAGGATTTTTAGTCTATTTTGTGTTGTTTCCTTTTATTACATGATTTTTGTAATTGTACTGTAATTTAAAAAATTAGAAAAATAAGAAGCAAGTTTCCCCCTTTTTCCCGGCCCGCCCAGTCTCCACGTCTTACTCTTCCAGTGCCCAGTGGCAGGCTCTCTGCTTTCTCCTGCCATCTTCTCAGCCTGTAAGGGATGGGAATAAGGAGAGGTGAGCCTTCCCCGCGCCGTGTGGCAGCACACAGGCTGCCCGAGGAGGCGGTTCTTGCCGCTCTCTCATCAAAGCCGGCGTGCTCTAGCGGGGCCTGTGGGTGGCCTGTGAACTGCCCTCTCTGAGCTCTCGGGCCACCCTGAGCCACGGGAGCTGCTTCTCCTCTCTTCACAGACAGTCCTCTCAACTCTTCGGGACTCAAGTCAGAACCAGGTGGGGGTCGCCAAAGCCGAACTCCAGGCAACGGAGAAACTGGTGGAGAAGAATATTGGAAGTAAGCTGTGGGCCCTTGCTCCCCGCCTCCCTCCCAGGGTCGAGGGTGGGGAAGACGCCCAGGCCAGCAAGCTCACGGTTGCGTTCCTGGGCCTGGTTTTTGAGGGCCTGACCATGCTGAAGAGCTCCCAGCAGCAACACGGCCTGCTGCAGCAAGCAACCCACTGGGGTCGCTGGAGAGCCTCTGCCAGTCAGAGTAGACAGGACTAGCTACATGCATGGCGTGTATTACCTGCCGTGAGAACTTTTCTGGTGGGCCTCTCTGAGGAAAAGATGCTTTTCAATGCCTGCACAGAATGATTTTCAGGAAGGTGAAGGTGAGAGGTGCAGACGAGCGCCTCCGCATCATGGCTGTTCCATCCACTGTGGAGACCCGGTTCCCCAGCCGTGGAATTGCATGTCTTCTCAGCTACAAGGGGGAAAAGGCTCCTGTCTGGAGGTGGTACAGGTGGGCTTCAGGACGCCTGCCACTTGGAAGGGATCTTAGACAAGGAGATCATGGGGTTTTAAAAGCATTCCTTCTCCAGAGCATTTGGCTCCGGACAGATGAACCGCGGCTAGCAAATTGTTTCTCTTGTGGCAACGCTGTTTTCCCTCTTCGTGGCCAGAGAAGTTTGCTGCTGTAAAGGAGAGCTTGCACAGTTTCTTTGAAGCCTGGTCTTTATTTCATTCTCTCTTTTACTGAATGTAGAGTTTTTTCAGTGGCTTCAAATTGTTGTGAGCCATTCTGAATAGTGCGCAGGCAGTAGAAGGGCATAGCAATGCGTTTCTCGTGCTGTGAAATCAGGCGCCACACGGGTGGCCCCGTGCATTGCTCTTCTTCCCGCGTTCGGCCCCCAGAACTGGACCTGGAGATGAAGCGTATGAACACCAAGGTGCACGCCCTGCAGGAGGAGCTCAATGTGCTCAGGACATACATGGACAAGGAGTACCCGGTGAAAGCCGTCCAGATCGCGTCCCTGCTGCGCAGCATCCGCAGCCTGAGCGAAGAGCAGCAGGTGCGGGAAGGAGGCTTCGGGCGGCCTCCCCTCGTCCCGCTGCAGGCAGGGCGGGTGGCGCGCGGCCCGTCTAACCTGCCCCCTGTGCTTCTGCCCCAGGATGAATTGGAAGACGTCGAGGACCTGTCCAGGCGCTTCCTGGACACGCTGGCGCGGAAAGTGTGGGAGGAGCAGGAGTGCATCCTGCAGGACCTCGCGGAGGTGGGTGCGAGGGGTTCTCCTCCTGACGGCCAGGACCCCCAGGGGGTGGAACGGGCTTCCCAGGAGGAGGCTGAGGCCCCATCGGTGCGGGTGCGCAAGGGTAGGCTGGATGTCCACATGGCGGGCATGTCGTGAGCGGAGCCGGCTGGAGCCGGGGTCAGGCTAGATGGCCCAGGAGGCCCCTTCTGACTCGCTCTGTTTCTGTGTTTCTCTGAGCGGAGCCGGGGTCAGGCTAGATGGCCCAGGAGGCCCATTCTGCCTCGCTCGGTTTCTACGTTTCTGTGCTGCCCCATGTGGGAAAACGCCTTCAGACACTCCCACAAGCCCCTCAAAGCTGCAGCGAGCGATACAGACAGCCCCCGCCCGCCTCTTTTGGGTCCTGGACTACTGAGGAATAAGTAGCCGGCAGCTCTCGCCGAGCAGGCACCTGGGCTAGCCTAGCTGTCCAATGCGCTTGATCTCCCCCGTGCAGAATAGGTGTGCTAAGGCTTTGCTTTTGAAAAAGCAGTCCTTGCCTGGGGCTTCCCCTGAACTTGCCTTCCGGGATCGCAGGGATCCTTCTAAAGGACATTACCCTCCGTTTCTCTGTAGAAGAAGCTGATGCAGTACCAGGATGGCCTTGAACAGATGCACAAGAACAACAGGGAACTGAAGAGACAAATAGAGACGCAAAAGGAGGCAAGAGGTTTGGGGACGGCAGCAGGCGGCTGGGCAGGGAATGCCGTGCTGGCCACCTGGTCATGGCACCAGCCGGTCTCTGGGCCTCCCTCTGACCACCAGCTTCCCTGGCAGCCTGTCACACAGCTGGAGCCTGGCCTGAACGCGGCAGAAGCTTGCGCAAGCCCCAGGGAAGGGGGTCCCTGAGTGGAGGGCCGCATGCTCCCAGTTCAGGAGAGGACGTGGCTTGTGCGATGAACGCCAAGCATGCCCAGCGTGGACTGTGGAGGGACCGTGGAACGCTGGAACAGCCCAGCCCTGCCTTCCTGTTTGGACTGGCTGTAACAGGCAAACCTAGGCTGGGCATTTGTCCCAAGCACGGAGGAGGAGGTGCGCTCTCCTCTCGGTGGGTTCAGCTTCCACTTGCTGAGGCTCGGAGGGCATCTTAACATGCTTGCCTCCCTTGGGAATCGCTAGCCCGGAGTTAAAGCGCCTTAGAAAGAATTGGAGGTGCTGGAAGGGAAAGGGGAGGTGCTCTGGACCTGGCCAGGAGCTGGGGCGGAATCCAGGCTTGCTCATTTCTCCTTTAACTCTTCCAGATAATTGATGAATTGGTCGAAGAAATCCAGGATTTGCACAGGAGCATCATAAAGCTGCACCACTCTGTGGGGGACCCGCGGGAAGCGATATTTCCAGACGTCCTGCTCCGTAGACCCAAGTAAGCCCCTTCACCCGAGTCCCGAGCAGCAGGAGTGGCTGCTGGGGTGGGGGGCTTGCTCACATCTTTGTGCCACAATCCAGGGCGGGCAACTGGTGTCTCTCCAGATGTTTTGGCCTGCGGCTCATGTCAGCCCTCATCGGCATAGCCAGGCATGAGGAACGCTGGTGTGCCGAAACACCTGGAGGGTCTCAGGTTGCCCGGTCCCACCTTGAGCGCAGAGAGTTTCTTTCACTCTGCAGCAGGCTCCACTCCATATTGGAAAGGAGGTCCTGCTCATCCCCACTTTGATTTCTGCTCCTTTCGCAGCTGCTGCCTTTCCACCTGCAAGAGCAACTTGTAAGTCTTGGCCTTCCTGTTCTGGGTTGTGTACCCGCTTCTCAGTGCGCATGCCCTTTTTAGTCTGGGAAGCTGGCCACTTGGCCCCAGCCACTCCTGCCTCCAGCTTCCTGCTGGCGATCCAGGACCACCCTCTCCTGAGCAGATACAGACAATGCGCCCTAGTGCTTCCTTTTTCTCTGCAGAGTTGTCTTCGCACCCCAAGGCTTCTGTGTCCCCAGGCAGCCTAGCTCCTCTGTCCACTTGTGGGCCTGATGCCTTCTTTGTTCTTTCCCTCCAGATGCACCCCTGATATGGAGATTGTGCTGAACATCCCCACGGATGAGGACTTCCCCCTGTAGTGGCTGGAGCTGCCTTGCCTGGCACACCTGAGCAGCAACCACATTCTTGTTGACTGCAGAATGTCCGCCTTCAGCTCCGCTGAGCCAAGCCAACCATTAGCAGCCCAGACTGCATTTTTTAAACCTAAACCTTCTGCTTTCTCTCCGGCTTCTCCTGCATTTCAGTACCTCAGAAGACTGTATTAAAGATAACCCGGGCAATCTAAGAGAGTCTGTGTTTCAGATGATCCCCAGGACCCCCCGAATAGCCGTGCCTCTGTTGGCGCTGCATCTCACTCATCGGGCTCTGACGCTCTCAGTGCCTGGATAAACAAACAGGTGTGTGGAAAGCCAAAGGGAAAGCAAGGGACTCGCGAGGCCTGCCCAACATGTCCGGAACAGTTTGTGTGTCTCCTTAAAACTTGTGGGTGAGAGGTAAACCTCAGGCTGTTTCCAGAGGGCAGTTTCTAGCATTCTTGGTCACTGCAAGGAGTAACGCAAGCAGTATCTGCAGCGATGCCCCCCGTTTTTATATGGGATGCCGGAGCGAGCCCAGCAAGCTCAACCCGCGACCGGCGGCAGCCCTGCAGTGGTTCCTGTCAGCTGGAGGAACTGGGGTGAAGTCCAGGCACTGGACTTCCCACTGCCCGCCAAACGGGACGTGGTGGTGTGGGCCCTGTCACGCGGAAAGTGCCATCTTCTCGTAACGGAACTCACCGCTGGGGGTGCACGGCAGCTGAGCGGCATACCGCGCCGTGAGCAGGGGGGGCTGCGTTGCCCCCCTCTTCTCCTCCGATTTCCGTATCTCCCATTGGCACCAGGGGGAGCTTTCCCTCTAACACAGGCGGCGTGTGGTGAGCCGGGCAGTTCTCATTGGAGCGCACCCTGGGGGAAGGGCAAAACCTCGCTACTCACACTGATCCCCCCGCTCCCTCCTCCCCACCCTTGCCATAGGAGTTGGGTTTTTTTAATGTTCTCACTAAATGCAGTGCCACCTTTAGAGTCACAAGCAGTTAAGCACTGCATCCAACTCGCTGATGACAACAAACCCACTGTTGTCTAGCTGTGGGTCAAGCACAAGGTTTTCCCGGGCTGCTGGAGCGTCTTTTAACAGGAGATTCTGTGAGTTGAACCTTGGATCTTCCTGCTGTGAAGTAAGAGCCACTGCTGTCCCCTTCTGCATTTCCCTGCATCCCTGAAAATAAAACACCTGGAAGGATGTGAGGTGTTCTACCTGAGCGAAGTGAGCCGTGTGTTTGGGATGGTTTCGTTTCAGCAGGACAAGTAAGCCAGGAAATGTACCAAGATCTGCCATGGCATTGCAGGAGGGCCACATGATACAACACTTTAGTTGCCGATGGTCATGGCCCAAGGAGAAGTCCTGAGGGAGGTACATGAACGGCAGGGACTGGTGAGTTTGTGCCTGTGGGAACATCTATTTACTATACTGTTAAGTTTCCTGGAAATAGGGAGAAGTGTTTGAAGTGCAGGCATCAAAGCAACATATTAAGTGGGTAGAATAAAACAAAGAGCATATAATAAATTCTTCATAACATCTTAAAGCCAACAGCAGACTAAAGTACTAGCTGCACGGAAAGTGGCTCTTCATATCCCTGGGAGAATAAAAAGGCCTTCACTTGGCACCAGAAGGACCAGGCGACCCTCTCCAGTGAGCGTGTTCCCCAGCAGAGCACCTTCCCTGAAAGGGCCACCCATCCTGTGGGGGCACCTGGAGGAAGGCCTCACGGTGATCTTCAGGTCTGGGTATTTAAATGTGTGTGTGTGTGGGGGGGGACTCCTTCAGGTAACCTGGCCCCAGGCCATTTAGGAGTTAAAGGCAAAGGGACTGGGAATGCAGCCCGGAAACGGATCGGGCCACCTGGGGCAGCGACTCTGCCACGTACAGATGAGTCCGTCTTCCCGCAGCTTGCGCTTTCTGAAGGCTCTCCTGGCTCTGGAAGCAAAAGGAGTCCCCTGTGTTGTTGCCCCCAGCACCCATCAGGTGGGATGCGCTGCTTCCGGGTGCCTGGAACAGACCATCTGGCCCACGGGGCTGCAGCCTCACCTTCTGCCGCGAGGTGGGGCCCGTCGCCATTTGGTCTGGCCGAGAGAGATTGCGTGGGGGGGGGGGCACTTTTCCTTGGCTGTGGAGGATCAGGATGCGCGTCTGCAATCTAGTACAGGGCGGTTGGTTGGCTGGCTTCCTTCGCTGTGGAGCCAGCGCTGATTCTTGGCCAGGCCCCAAGAAGCACCCTGGTTTAGGAGCTGCCAAGTGGGCAGCCCCCGTTCCACTGTATGATGCTGAAATGCCCTAGCGGCACATGGAGTCTTCCAGAGTGGGGGGGGGGGTAGTGCTGGGGGACAAGAGGAGCACGTTTAAGGAAAATCCCTTGGCACGTTCAAGCTGAGAATGCAAAGCAGGGTGAGGCCAAGCCCTTGCAGAAAGGGTGAGCCCTGAGGCGGCTTTAAGGAATGAAGTTGTTCATAGCAACTTGAATCAGTTTTATTTGATGACTCAAATGGCAATGAATAAGGGAGGAAAAATCATGCTTGATTTTGCAAATCTCTACACTATGGAACTCACCCTTAGTCGCTTTTTTAAAAACTAAAAAGAACCCTACACTGTATCCTCATGCAGAAGGTATGTCAGATACTTGGTCTTGGTTTTCTACTCTTTTTTCGGCTCTGCAATGCTGTGCAGGGACATGGCCACCAGAACTTCCCCCAACCCTCACCTCTGTACATCTGCACAACGTCAGGGCCTTAAGAAGCTCATGTGAGATCATAGCTCAGAGCACAGGACTGGGACCCAGGAGATCTGGGTTTCGGTCCCTCCTTGGCCACAGAAGTCATTGGGTGCCTTTGGGCCGGTCCCTGTCTCTCAGCCTCACCTACCTCGCAGAGTTCGTGTGAGGATGAAGCTGGTGCTATAGGAGCGGCTCTGGGTCCCTTACATGGGGGAGAAAGTGAGATAGAAATGCAATGTAACACTGGCAACTTTATACATGGGAAGACATTTTACGCAAAGAAGGGAATAACCTTGCTACCCTTTTCTGTAGGCTTTCACTCTTGTTTTTGGTTGCTCCTCTGAGGAAAAGGAATGTATTACGTCAAGTGTTTTGAGGCTGACCTGCATGAGCAGCCAAGAGCCAAGAGCTTTGCTGGCAGCCAGTGAAGCCTGTTTGCCCTCCACTTACTGTGTTCGTAGCCTTTCACCACGCAAAGCACGGTGCCGTCCTTCGCTGCCTTTACATCCAGGGAGGCAGGTCAGGATGGTTCCCCTTTCACCGCCAAGAAAGTGCAGCCTGCTTGATGGGTGAACTAATTACGTAGTGCCATTAATGAATTTGATGGAGTAAGTGTCAAAAAAGAAAAATGCAAAGAATTAGAAGACGGCAAGCATCAGACGAGTACCTAGCAAGATTTACCCTGGAATATAATAGTTTCCGTGTGGATGGATTTGGAGAGGGGAGAATCTTCTTGGGCGGTAGCTCATACAGTTTTCCTCAAAGGAGGCACCTAAAGGTACTTCCTCCCTGGACTAGAAAACAAAAGGCAGCTGTAAAAGTTTTTCATTTTAGAAAAGAGTGTAAGGATTCATGGGCTGCAGTTACTAAAATCGGAAGGTGCTGGGCAGTTTATAAACCAGAATAAATCTGACTTGGAACTATTTCAGGTTATAGCGAAGAAACAGGTCTTCATCTCTTGGAGCACAGTCTAAACTTCAACAGGCGGACGAAGGAGGAACGTGAGGGAGAGGCTGCAGCTGTCCTGCTTCAGACGCGTCATGAAAAGGTTGGATAAAGGCCATCATGCTAGGGGACAGTTGAGAGCAGAAGAAGAAAAGGAAGGTCGAATAAGAGATGGACGGACTCCATAAAGGAAGGCACAGCCTCGAATTTACAAGGGCTGAATGGGCTGTCCAGGGCCAGGCTCTTGTTCATACAGTTGCCATGAGTCAGAGCCAACCTCGTGGCACTTGGCAACAACATCAGGCGCAGTAGTTTCGACCAGTTCCTGAAAAAATGTTGCCACTCAGCACTGAGAGTGCAAACTGGCATTCTGGCTACTCTTGCCTGGCTGTGTGTGCCGGACACTGAAATCTTGCAGCCCACACGGTTTTGCCCGCTGAGGCAGGGGCAATTTGGACTGACCCAGCTCAGTTTGCCAAGGGAAACCAGGAGCTTTGTACTGCAACACCAGCGTTCCTGATCAATGTCCATGCCTGCTGGTCCGGGTCCTGTGGTCGACACCTGAAGCATGTTCAGGATGAGCAAAGAATTCCAGCAAGGAAAGCGAGTAGAAGATGTCAGAAGAAGCCCATGTGGCTTTACAAAAAGCTTAGGGGGATCTGAAAACAAAAAGGACTTGTATAGGAAGTGGTAGGAAGGCTAGACTGCAAAGGAAGAATATAGGCAGGTAGCAGGGAATTGCAGGATGGCGTCAGGAAGGCTAAAGCTAGGACTGAATCGAGGCTAGCCAGGGATGCTAAAGGAAACCAAAAATCCTCCTTCGGATATGTCCACAGTAAAAGACAGAAACGGGTTCAACTACTCAATGTGGGTGGCAAAATGATAAGAGATGGCAAAAGGCAGAAGTGCTCAATTCCTACTTCGGCTCAGTCTTTCCTCAAAAGAAGATCCATGACCTTCCTGAAGAAAGGAAAGTATAAGCAGATGGAACAGAACAACAGCTCGAGATTGGTAGGCAAATGCTTAAGGATCATCTAACTGGGTTGGATGAGTTCAATTCTCCAGGCCCTGATGAACCTGAGCCCAGCATGAGAAAGGAGCTGGCGGAAGAACTCTCAGAACCGCTGTCTATTATCTTTGAAAAATCACAGATGACAGGGAAAGTGCCAGAAGGGCTCATGTCCCCATCTTCAAGAAAGGGGGAAAAGTAGAACCTGGGAACTACAGACCAGTCAGTCTGGCATTAATCCTTGGGAAAATTCTGGAGCAGGTTATAAAGCAGTCAGTCCACAAACACCTTGAAAACAATACAGCGATTATTTGAAGCCAACATGGTCGAGAAATCAAGAACCAACCCTGCCAGACTAATCTGATTTTGTTTTTTGATTGGGTAACCTTGCTATGGACATATCTTGACTTCAGCAAGCTTTTGACAAAGTGCCCCATTAGCAAACTAGTAAACAGTGGGCCAGATGGAACAACGATCGGATGGATCCACCATTGGCTACAGATCTGGACTCAAGGAGTGCTCACAACGGCACCTTCTCAGACTGGGGAGAGGTAACATGAGGGGTACCGCAAGGTTCAGTCCTGGGTCCAGAGCTCTTCAACTTTTTTATTAAGATTTGGATAAAGAAACACAAGGAATTATTCTCCAATTTTCAGATGACACAAAACCGGGTGGGAGAGCTGATATCCTGGAAGACCTCCCCAAAGAGGCTCGCCTGGCACCAATGTTATATTCTTTTCGGTGTCAGGGGAAAACCTTTCTATTTTCCTATTATTTTAATGTGTAGTTGATTTTAACTGAGGTTTTTTAATTTGATGTTGTTGGATGCTGCACTGTCTTGTTTTATTCTATTTGTTCTCTTGTTGTGAGCCATCCCAAGGCACTAGTGGTGGACAGGTTAGAAAAGCTTTTAATAAATAAATAATAAGACAGAAAGAAGATTCAAGGTGATTTTGATAGGTTGGAGCATTGGGCTGAAAACAACAGAATAAAATCGAGTAGGGACAAATGCCAAATTCTGCACCTAGGAAAAAGAAAACAAATGCATCTTTACAAGGTGGGGAATATTTGGCTCAGCAATAGTGCAAGTGAGAAGGGTCTTGGGGATGTGGAAGATCAGAAGCTGAAAATGAGTCAACCGTGTGATGTGGCTGCAAAGAGGGCAAATGCTATTTTGGGCTGGATTAATAGAAGCATAACTTCCAAATCCCATGAATTACCAGTTTACTCAGCACTGGCTAGGCCTCCTCTGGAGTACTGTGTCCAATTTTGGGCGCCACAGTTTAAGAAAGAAGCTGAAAAGGGTTCAGAGGAGGGCAACAAGGGTGAGCAGGGGACTGGAGACAAAGCCCTGTGACGAGGGACGGAGAGAACTGGCATGTTTAGCCACAAGAAGAGAAGACCAAGGGGAGGGATGGTAGCGCTCCTCAAGTACTTGAAAGGCTGTCACAAAGAGGAAGGCTAGGATCACTTCTCAATCATCCCAGGGTACAGGATGTGGAATAATAGGCTCAAGTTCCAGGCAGTCAGATTCCAGCTGGAATTCCTGACGGTTAGGCCCAATGACCCTCTGCCCCCATCCAACTCTACTTTCCTATGATTCCAAGATCTCGGCAAGGCTGGCCACTTAACCTCCAGGCAAACCGCAATTTTGGTTCTTGAAGGTGATGGAAGATCGGGTGCATCGGTAAAAGGGGAGCAGGACACAGAACTGAACCTGTAGATCTTTGGGGCTTAGCAAGAGGCTCAAGGAGAAAGCCCAGATCTGCGGAACAAGGTTGTCCATGTCTTTCATTCTTGGGAATGTGGGGTGGAGGTGCATGGGAAAGAGCCAACATTGTAAGTGAAGTGAGCCGGCCTTTGAATTAAGTTGAGCCTTTGGGAGGAGTTCCTGCGAAGCTGACCCCAGCTCACCTGCTCCCCTTCCTAAGGCATTCTCCGCAGAAGGCTGGGAAAGAGGCGTACCGAGAGCGGTGAGGAGCTGATACGACGGGGTGGGATGGCTCCAGGCCAAGGAAGCCTCTGTGTTGCTGGAGGCCAAGGTGTCTAGACGGAACTTTGGGGTCCCACAATGAGCCTCAGTTGCTGAGAAGGAAACCACGGGGCCTCCATGCCTGGCCCGGAAGCCTCAGCCTGGTCTGCAAAGCTCTAGAATAATCTGCCCAGCCAGCACTGGGCAATGAAGGCTGAATCGCAGGATTTCTTTGAAAAATGCTCCTGTTGCTTCATCTCCAGCTTGGTGACCACTAGACGTATTGGACTGCGATTCCCATAATGCCCCAGCCAGCTGTGCAGTCCATGCGAGATGCACTGCAACACACATCTGCAGAGCGTCTCACAAGGAGGGAAAAGTTGGGGAAGCCTGCTCTGCCCTTCCCTTTGGGTCACATTTCTCTTCTTCCTTGCGCAAGAATCCTTCCTGAGCGCTGCTCAAAGGTATTTGCTATTTGGGTGAAACGAAATAAACCTTAAAATAAAACGCTGGGAGCTTGGTCCGGATCCGTGGAGCTCGGGGCTCGGATTCCCGTCGAGGAACGGACGGCGAGCCCGCGGAGACGCTTTGGGCCGTCTGCACATGCCCGGGCGCGCTCGTGCAGCGCCGCCTGCGGCGGAAGGGCGTCCCGGGATCTCGCGGCGGGCCGCCCGGGGGGGGGGGGGGGGGTGTCCCTCCCGGAGCAGCGCGCAGGGAGGGGGCGCCACCGCTCCGGCTTTAAAAGCGCCTCCCGGGGCCGCGGCGGCGGCGCTGCGCCATGAGGCCGGGCGGGACCGACGGGGCGCGCGGCTGGGGGCACCCGGAGGCCCCCCAGGAGCGCCCTGCGGAGGGGGAGCGGCGTTAAGCGGCGAGCCGAGCCGAGGTGAGGCAAGCGGCGGGAGAAGGGCACTTTCGACGGGCGCGCCGTTTGCGCCCGCGGCCGACGGGGCTCCACCGCCTGCCCGGGCGCCGAGCCGCGGGCCGCGTCCGGGGCTCGGCTAAGCGAGCGGGGGGCGCCAGAGCCCCCGCAGGAGCCCCCGTGCAGCCCGGGTCCTGCGCAGGGCTCGGCTCCGGCTTCTAGAAGGCGTGGCCGAGGCGTTGGGGCGAGGGGACCTCTGCGCGCGTGCGGAGGGCTTCCTCCGGTCGGCCGCTCCTCTCGTCTTTCTGGGCTTCGCACGGCGCGGGGTGCAGCGGGGCGGGGGCCTCTTTGTGCAGGACCCGCGCCCCCCGCGTGGCTCCCTCCGTTGTCCTCGCCCGGCGTCTCCCAGCGGCGTTGGACTCCCGCGCCCCGCGTCCGCCGGTGCGGAGCGCGCCAGTTGGGGAAAAGCCGGTACACCCCCGGTTCTCCCCCCCGCCCGCAAACATCCAGCGCTGGTTCGGGGCTACTCTCAGGCCCAGCACAGGGACCGCACGGCCGTCCTCTGGACCGGCCCGGAAATGCTCTTTGCACGTGCTCAGGCACACGCTCGCCTTTATCCTTTAACGGTGCGGGGGCCAGCGCGCGGCTCGGCGAACCCGGGCCGGGGCTAGCTCCGTTGACAGAGACGGGAGCGTGCATAGGTTTTGGAGGTGCGTAATTCAATGCCTTCGCAGCGGCGACAATGGCTGGCTGCATTGCAACCAACTTTCCCTCTGAATTTTTAACCATGTTTTGGAGGCGGCAAAAGCGTGCCGTGGCGTTGGGTTACCGGTACCGCCATGAAACCGGACCCTGGACTGGAAAAACGCAGATGCTGGGGCTTTTGTTCCGCAGGAGGGCGATTGGTGGGGGGGGGCGAGGGGGGCGCCTCTTGTTTCTAATTTTTTGTAGCTGTTTTTATATAGCCAGAGCTTTGGTGCTAATGGGACCCTGAGAACTAACTAACAAAACAGCTGTCAAAGCACGTATTCCTATTAAAAGACTGCAAGAGAGCACCAGCAGCTCTGGATCCTGCGGACAGGCAGGGAAACGGTCCAGGGGGAAGGCAGGCGAGCGCCGTCCGGGGAAGAGCCGCTGAGCTTCCGGCCTCCGCATGCAGAGCAGGGGAGGGAGCCGCCGGAGCTCCCCAGAGACCCCGTTGCAGAGGCCCCTGGCAGTTGGGAGATTTTTTCCATCCAGCCCTAATGGCTTGTTTAACATACTTTTTTTGTTTCCTTTTTGCAACGTAGAAAAAATTTCAGCAACCCTGGAGACACAGCGGCCTGTCTCCCATTAGCGGTGAAACTAGCGTTTGTGTGTGCGTAGAAAGGGGGTTCTCTCTTCTTCCTTTTCCTCTTGTGGAAAAACTAGTCCGATGCGATGGAAGAACTCATGCAGAACGGGACCTCCCCGCTGACCCCGGTGCGTTTCCGTTTCTGCACCCATTTCATGTGAGGCCGCGAGACCACCATGCATGCTCTCGGCTTGCAGTGCTCTCTGCTCCCTGTCCTTCCTTCCGAACAGGGCAGTGTCCACTCCGTGCTCTCCAGACCGTGCAGCCCCAAACGCTGAGGTGTGTGGCCCATCAGGTCTTTGCTAGCCCCAGCAAAAACGTGATTTCAGGCCTACGGTTTATTCCTTCATTATCTTTCGACCCCCCTTTTTGTGAAAGGAATGCAAGGTCACTCAGATCTCCTTCCTCCTGCCCATCTTACAACAGCCCGTGAGGCTAAGCATCGGGCCGGCCCAAAGTCACCTGGTGAGCTTCGTGGCTGAGTGGGACCAGCCCCGCATCGGCCGAGTCCCAGCCCCGCAGGCCGCACTGGCTATAGCGCGCCTTAAGGTGGTGGTGCGGGGCCAGCTGGGCTGGGTGTCTGAATCTTGCGGCAGACACCAAATGGCTGGTCAGGGACTCGAGGCAGACGGGCAGATCGAGCACACATGAGCCATTTGTTTCTTGAGCAAACCTTTCTGTCAACTATAATGCATGGGGCACTTTGAATTTGCAAAGTGTCCCGGCTGAATCGAATTTGGCCTTTAATCTGGTCCAGCAACCCTGTGAGGTCCGTTGCAGCCACAGACTGAGCGCCTGCCCTCCTTTGCCTTCCCTTCCCATTCGTTGTAGTTTAAATTCCTTCCTAAGCTCACACCACCCCCTTCTGTTTGAGCGGCTGGGTGGTTTCCCTGCAAGGGTCATGCAAAAGCCAGGAGTTGGAGGCCTGATCCATTCTGGATGGTTTCACTGTTTATTTTATCACCGACGCAAAAGACAGCAGGGGGCTGATCCTTGGGAATGGCAGCCGTGGGGTGTCGTGGAAAGGGAGGGCCGGGTGCATTCGGGGGCTTCCTTACACCTGCTCAAGGTGAAGCAGAAGGCTTGGGGCACATTCTGAGGTGTGGCCTGAGGGGGAGGCCAGAGTGGCTCTGTGTTTAGACCTTTTGGGGAGAAGGGTCGGGCCTGGGCTGGGAAGGGCAAGGAGCGCTTTCACCTGCATTGATGGAAGGGCACACGAGCCGTTTGGGGCCAAAGGCAGAGTGCATCTGCGTTTTGGCATTTAACCCGTGGAATATTTTATACCCGAGTATGGAAAGCAGGAGCAGAGGCATCTCTGAGCGTAGTTGTGCCGACCCTGACTGGTAGGGATTCTGCCGGCCAGCTCTGCCTGGAGAGGTGGCAGGTGGGCCTTGGGAGCTTCTGCATGCTCAGCTGGGGCTCCTCTCTAAAAACGGTTCCAACCTGAGTCCTGCGGAGCCACCAAGTGCCACCAAGCGCCACTTGCCACGTGGGAAAGACGTGCATGGACTGAAAGGGCTCGGAGGGTCCTCTCAGCACATTCTGAGCCTGGGAATTTGGCCCGGATCTGAGCCCTCCGTCCGTTCGCATCAAAGTCCACTCCTAGTTCCCTGACGCTTTCTTTTTGGCCACCTAACTCTGGTGGGGAAAGTCAGGTGGTTGTTGCCACCAAGTAACCACTCGGAGCCAGAAGGTCCTGACGTACATTTTGCAGTACGGAAGCGGATATAGGCCCCAGTCTGGTCCTTGATCTGTTGGGATTTTGCACAAACGGTTTGCAACTCCGGTTTCACTTTTGGGGGCCGCCTCTGCCTTGCAGACGAGTGCCCAGATGCTTCGAGGGACGCTGTTCAGAAGGCCCTGAACACGCCCTGTGCTGCCATTGGGTTCTAAAGTCAACATACCCAAAAGGTTGCAAACCGTTCCACCCACCCCTGCTTCTAAGTTTAAAAGTTGTTTGGACGGTCACGGGTGCAGGGTGGATCCCCGTGATGGAATGATTTATGCTTGTTTGCTTTGGGCTCGCATCCAGCACAGACGAGCAGAAGGAACGCCACTGCGAACGGCCGCTTCTTCTCCGCCAGCGGGCTGGGCACGCCGTGCCCGGCCAGCCGACCCACCCCAGGGCAGGAAGCGGCCTTGGCAAGGAGCGACTCGACTCGGGGGCTGACTTCCTCTGCTGGTCTTTTGGCAGAAGATGGCACTGAACGCCCAGCGAGGAGGCAGCACGAGTCCTTGCTGGAGGCGGGCCAGCACCCCACTTCCCGCCTCCTGTGGGCTTCGCCCGGGGATCCTGAGCACTCGCCCCAAACTGGCACGACCCCGCCACCCACAGCTGGGACAGTCCTCGTCCTGCGAGCCCCAGGGGCACCTGCCGGAGCCACGTGGCAGCTGGTCTTCGGAGTCCTCGGATGAGTCATGGGAATCGCTGTACCGAGTGGTGCTTCTAGGTGATCCCGGAGTGGGCAAGACCAGCCTGGTCAACCTTTTTGCTGGGGTTCAAGAGAAGGATTTGCCAGAACAGCATAGAGGTAGGACCTCTTCCGATTCCGGGGGGGGGGGGGGGGGGGGAGGATCAGGAAGGTTCCAGGAAGTGGTGACACCTGTCACACCACAAATCCATCTCTTGTGGCCAGCTGTCTTGGTGTGGGAGTTCCCCGTGAATCGTGTTCACCCTATTGCAGATGCCTTGCAAAGTGGCTTATTGACTTGAGCTATCTGGAACGCGCCGTTACACAACGCACCCCTTAGCCATGAGAGCTCAAAGAGAGCCTCTGTCTCAGAAGCAGTGTACCTCGGAGCGAAGGAGAGCAGCTGTTATCCCAAGGAGCCCGGGAGTCGCAGCCTGGGGGCTGAGGCTGGACCTGGGCGCTCTGTTGGGGAACGGCAACGTCTGCATGGGGTACATTCCCCACACAGTTCCTGGAGCAGCATTTCTTAGAGAAGGGACTGAATGGCGGCATCCTTCTTCGCATTGGGATTATCGAGGTTTTGGGGCGGCAGGGGACGGTTGTGTGAACAGCCTCCCTGCAGGAGGGGCAGGTCCTGTGAACAGGAGAGTCTTCGGCAGCCACTGTCAGGGTCGTGTTCTCGTTTGCCAGGGCAGTCGGAGGCTTTCTGTGGCCCCCGCCGTGCAGTTCAGCTGTAAAACCGAGCCAGGGCTTGCGCTGTCCTCCCTGCGGTTGGAACAGAGGCTTGCCGTGGTCCCGTGCGTTCAGCCAGGGGGTCGGGGTCAGACCCACTTGCTGGCCTGCCTCCACTCCGGCTCGGGCACCCTGGCTCTGGCCATCCCCCTGGCAAGCCCACCGGTGGTGGTCGCAAAGGTCCAGGAGCAAGAGCAGCTGGTGGCCGTGTGCTGCGAGTGTCCGGGAGCTGCTCGCCCCGTCTTCCTAAGGCCAGCCGGTGGAAGCTTCGACCGCCATCCCCGTGCTGGCCGGGCGGGATGGGACTTGTAGTCTAACAAGCCTGGGGGGAGGGCTGCGCTGAAGCAGCGGGGCCTCACGCAGCCGCCTGGCCCTTTTCAGAGGACTCCTACGAGCGCACCTTGTCTGTGGACGGCGAGGAGACCACGCTGATGGTGATCGACACCTGGGAGGCCAACCGCCGGGTAGGTGGCAGACCCGTGCACGTGCGGATCGTGTCCCCTCGAGGTCAGCACTGGCTCTTGGCCAGCAGGGAGGCTTCTTAGGCCTGGAGAAAAGAGCTGCGCGAGAGGGCAGGATCCTATCCATTTTATTGCTCTGGAGGAGAGGGAATCTTGGCGACCCCGGAGGAGAGATGCAGCTCATATTCCCCTTTGCAGGGATGCCCTGGAAGCCAGAGGAGCATCGTATTCCTTGGCGGGCATTTATCTTTCAGAACCTCCTTCCTGCGCAACCCACCGGTTGTTTCAGTCCTTGGGCTGATGAGCAGCCCGTGGGTAAAGAGCCATGCGGGGTTCCCACCACAGTGGCCCGAAGGGGGCACCCCTGTTCTCAGGAAAAGTCCCGCACTTGCCCTCTGGCTGGCTGGCCGGCCGGCCTGCGGGGTCCAGCTCCGCTCTTCCCTGGGCCGCCCAGGTTGCCGCCATCCGCGCCGAGCTGGGCAACGGCTGGCGGCCCCTGTGCGCGCAGGGCCGGCACCCCCGCTCTGCGGCTGGCTTGCCTCTCGCGCAGGAACAGCGATCGATCGGGTCGCGCTTGTCGCTCCCGCTGCGTCGGAGCCGTGCCTGCGTGGCAGTCAATGCGGAGCCAGTGCAGGACGTTCCGTTCCGTTCAGCTGAGGGCCGGCAGAGGGTTCAGCTCCCCTCCGCCATGAGCTGGCTGGGCGGGCAGAGGCCGGTGTGCTTGCGTGGCCTCCGCCCCACCCTCTTCGGTTCTAGGGCCACAATTCGGAGGATGCCACTGAAGGGCTCCCACTGACCTCCCACCCTGGAAAACGCAGCTGTTCTCATCGCAATAGCTATTTCTCCATCCACGCCTGCGGGAGGTGGCGGCTGCATTCCTGGCGGGATCCCCGGAGGAAGGGTGCTGTGGGAGGGGCGGCCCTGCAGGGTCAGCGTCGTGCGCCTCTGCCAAGGGCCGTGCTTCAGCAGGAGGCCTCAGGCCGGCCGCCAACCTGCCCTCACGCTGTGCTGGCTCCACCGGCCCGGGCACCCTCTCCCGGGGAGCCAGCGCTGGAGGGAGCCCAGCCAGCAGCCCCCTCCACCGGCCTTCTCTCCCCCTCTGAGCTGCCATGCAGGATGGGCCCGGAAGAGGGGTGGTGCCAGCGAATGGGCAGCAAGGAGCGGGCAGGACTGCCCTGAGGATCGGGCCCTGCAAGAGCATCTTGCCCCAAAGCCCCCACAGCTGGAAGCTGGCCCTGCCGAAGCCCCTTGGGCACCCGCCGCCTATTCTCAAGGCTGGTCTGAGGAGCCCAGGCCCCTCAAGATGCTGCAGCCTGAAGCCAGGCTGTTGTGCGTGAGTCAGGCTTGGCGGGGCAGCAGTTCTCCGTGGTCCCAGTCGCATCTCCGTGGGGCTCAGCTTTGCAAAATGCACGCTTGCCGCTCGCCTGCTTCTGGCTGCAGCCGCAAACATACTTACTAGGCAGTAAGCTTGGGGAGGGGGCTTACTTCTGAGTAAATGCCCCCAGGACACGGCCGCACGTTTGAAGGGCTGGCTGTCTTGTGCCCTCTTCTGGTGATTTGGGATCACCTGAATTTAGGTTTTACAAGCTGTTGCGCATTTGAAATCAGGCAAGGATACAGTTTGGATTGGGCTTCCAAATTTGGAAATGGTTGAAAGGGTGGTGGTTTGCCCTGCTTGATTTTGGTATCCCCACTCCTGGATAATCAAGGTTAAAGGGGGTTAATTTTGCAAGCGAGAGGTCTTGACAGAAACCCGTTTTTCTGGAAGCCTTTTTTGTTAATTGCAAATATGTGATAGCCCTGCAGGTAAGCAGTTGTGTGGGACTAACACCAGGTGAGTTTGTTTACCCAGTGGTAAGGGAAAGCACATTCTGGATATGCCCAGGGGTACTCTTGAGTGTGCTTTTTAACCCCCCGTTTCCAGGCATGGCCCCTGCAATTCCAGATAGCTTCAGCCGTGACGCAGACGAAGCCCACTGGATAAAGCTGCTCTTGCGAACATGTGACTCCAGTTTCTGGGTGGCATCGGGTAACTCGCCCTCCTTTTCCCAGGCTGTTTCCCGGATCTCCCCAAGGCGGGCTAGCCTCTTGGCTCTAGTCGTTTCCAGGCCAGCGCAACCACACAGAGCAAGCTGCGTGTCCTCTTTGGAGAGAGCAGCGATTTCCCCCGACCAATTGATGGGGAGACAGACGGTGTCAAACGCAGCCCAAAGGCAAACGCTCTTAATGGGCTCGTGTTCGGCTCAGCCATGTGCAAATTCCGTGGCGCTCGCAGCGAGGTCAGCACGGCTGGGCGGCGAGAGCAGCGCCTCTCCTGCCACCCGGACCCAGGAGAAGGCCATTTCCCCCGACCCGTGGCCACAGCCCCATTTTTAAATGGGGTCCCAGGTTTATAGCTAGCCCCGCAGGGGATGCTGGCAGTTGTAGTCCCACACTTCTGCAGGACTCCAGGTTGGGGAAGGCTGGGCTAGGGCAGCCCCAGGTGGAGGTTTGTATTTATGAAAACTCTTTCCACCCCCCCTTTCATTTGTGTTAAATTTCCAAACAGTGGAACAGACAAGGCATGCACTGAATTTCTGACCAGTTCCTGAAATTGTCTTTATGGACAAAAATACAGGCAGAATCTATAGGCCATTGCATGGGGGGGTTGATGGTTTGTCATAAAGACAAATGATTTCTAGCGTCTTGTCCGTAGCCTCTTTTCCAGATAGTGCTGGAGACGTTGATTTGGCGCAAGCAGTGCGCTTGGCACCATACTAGACACGGACTCAGAGTCGTTCCTCTCTCTGGCCTTCCCTGTGTGTGTGGCAGAAGCGCCGGTGGGGCTGGGTCTTCCGAGTCCTTGCATGGAGAGGAGCCGGGGGTTTGGCCCATGAGGCCTCCATGCGCAGCCCAGGGAGCCCTTGTCCAGGAGCGGCTTTACCTCGAGCCTGGCATTGGGCAGGGGGCTCCACTCGATGGCCTTGTGGGCCCCTTCCTCCTCTACCATTGCAGGATCCCAGGTGAATCTGCACCCCCCCCCGATCTTTTTTCATCGAAAACAGCAATGAGCACCAGACTCGGCTTCTTCCAGTCGTGCAGCTCCCAGAGCCAAGGTGGGAAGATGCTCCCCACCTGTTCCCTGGAGATCGAAAAGGCCTAAATTCCAGAGGGGTGGCCAGGGCAGCAAGACCCCCAAGGACCCATGCTTCGTGGAGCAAGGCCCGCTGTCAGATGTGGAAGTCCAACAGTCGCTTGCTGCTGCAGCCCCGGTTGGCTGGGCTCCGATTTCCCCGGCAGCAGCCTCTGGAGGCCCCTTGCCACAGAGGTGCCTAGCTTGGAGTGATGCCGCTCGGTGCTGGGGGAGAATCCTGCCCGCGGAGGTTTCCATGCTTGTTGCAGGCCCATGCTGCATACGTAGAAAGGGGGCTCTGCGCTCTCCCAGGCAGGGATGGGCAGCCTTTGTGGGCTCGGGCACATCTGCACATGGGAGGAACTCTCCTGGGCACCAGCACAAGTTGGCTGCCATTGGCTAGGTGTCGAATACCCTCAGGAGCGCTTGGCCCCTGCAGTCCGCCTTGCCCACCAAGGTCCTCTGGATACTCTTCCGAACTTTGCTTCTGTAAGATAAATGTCAGCTGCCCAGAGAGAGGCGCCGGATGTTCCAGATTGCTACCTTCAAGAGGGAGTTAAAAGACCGCTCTCTCCTGACAGGCCTTCCCAAAGTAGTTTATTTAATAGGCTTGTTTTAGTCAGAGTTTAATCCTTGTTACAATCTCTTGTAAACCCCCCAAAGCCTATGAGAATGGAGTGGTATATAAAATTAAAATAATAAATAAACAAAATATAGCCCAGAGGCACTCATCGGAAATGAAGTTTGCAGCCACCGGAGGCCCGCGCTTGGCTTTGACCTGACCCCAGCTGCTGAGTGAAACGTGCCAGATGCCTTTTCAAAGTCGGGGGGGGGGGGGGCGCCTTTGTGCCTGGGGGCGGTGGGTGCTGAGCTGCCGGCCGCCCCGCCGAGGGAGGCCTGTTCCTTTCGCCCTCTCCCCCGGCTTTGCGGCACCCCGGTCTCCGGGCCGGGCCCCGTGTCACGGGCTTTCCTCCTTCCCTGCAGCCCCTGGAGGAGGAGAACTGGCTGTACAATTACTGCATGCAGGTGGGCAATGCCTACGTCATCGTCTACTCCATCACCGACCGGGGCAGCTTCGAGAGCGCGTCGGAGCTGCGCATCCAGCTGCGCCGCACCCGCCAGGCGGAGAACATCCCCATCATTCTGGTGGGAAACAAGACGGACCTGGTGCGCTGCCGGGAGGTTTCTGTGGAAGGTGAGCGGGAAGAGGCTCGGCTGCTCGGAAAAGGGCTTTTCTCGGCGGGCGTGTGGGCAGTGGCGTGTAGCTGCCGTTTAGCAAGGACCCTGCCCGTCTTCGTAAGCCTCACGGTTGCCTCAAAGGTGGGAAGCCGTTTTCGCCCCGAGGCCGAATTCGGTTCGCTCTCAAGGGCTGCACTCCATGGCTGGGCTGGAAAGACAAAGGGGGTGGGACTGACGTCAGAAAGGGCGGGGCTTAAATATACCAAAATTCCCCGTGTATTTTCGCTTAAAGTTCTTCCAGCCAGAAAGGAGACCTGGAGGAGCCATTTCAACCATGCAGAATGGGAGAAAACACACAGAAGCTGGGGCTTTTCGTTGGTGGTTTGGGGGACGATGGAGGGCCAGCAGAAGTGGGCACGATTGCATGGGATCTTGGAGGGCAGGATTTGACCTTCGGTTCCCCCCCATGATTCACGTTGGAGCCTCAGAGTTCAGTTGTTCCCCCTCCCCTGCCCTCGTACTGCAGATGAGCAATGGAGGCTCGACTCACGGCTGCTTATTAAAACATGGCCTATTGCATTGTTCGAACCCAGCCAAGATGGTGCGCAACACGCAGTTCAGGAACCAACAACAAACCATGGGTTCTCCTCATGGGTAGCACTGCTGGGTTCAGGCCACACAAGCACCTCTGGTTTGAAGACGGGGGGTGGGTTTTCAGCCCAGAATAACCCCCTCTGAGAGGGATGGTTTCACTGGGAGCCCTGGACTGGGCAGGGTGTTGGACCCAATGGGCTGCTCGGCCCCTTCTGCTGTTCTGGGATTCAGTGACCAGGGCAGTCCAGGTGCATCGCTTGCTTCAGCATGTTTTACGGGAGCGAGCCGAGATTCGCCACAGCGAGTCCTGGCGTCGAACGGAGGACGCGTGTGTGATGTGGAGGTGATCGCGGTCCTAGCCTTCCATGACCACCTCACCTGGAGGGCGGCGCTCAGTCCACAGCCAGTCCCTTCCTGAGTGCCGCGTCATCAGTTCCTCCCTAATGCTCTGATTCTGGATCCTTAATTCCTTAGAATTTGAAGATCCTGAACCCTGAGCAGCCTTCGGCATGAAAATCCCGCTGTCGCTTCTCAAAGACCTCCTTGCTTTCTTTCTAGCAGGTTCCTAGTCCTTCTCATATTGCTGGAAATCCATCTCTAAAGCCAATAAAATGTTTCAGTTTGGTGCTGAGCTCACTGGCATTCAGCCGCAGAACCTGTCTTCAGGGTTTGAGCCGCCCTAGAAGGACACATGAAGAAATGAAATGTACATCTGAGCACACACAGAGTTTCTTTTCCCTCAATGGGGCCAAGCATCTCCCAATGCTGAAGGAAGAGTTTCCAGGCCATCTTGCCCATCTGTACCTCTTTCTTTAGGAATTCAACATTCATTCATTTATAAAATTTGTATGCCGTCCAATTACTTGTGTCTCTGGACGGCTTACAACATAAATTGACTGTCCACACTGGCTGCAAATTAATAAAATACAACAATAAAATTCAATATTCAAACATATTAAAATATTGATTAAATAAAAAGGTCTTGACCTGGCACCGAAAAACATATGACGGCGCCAAGCGGACCTCTCTGGGGAGCACATTCCATTAATTGCATCATTAACATTGCTTGAATCACTGGAGTGTGGGGCTGCCCCATGCCTCTTTCCCATCCTGTAGGCACAGGAAGTGGTGTATTAATTAACCATGAAACGTTTCGTCCATCATTTATTTCATTTAGGCTGCAATCCTATTCTCATTCACCAGGGAGTAGGTAAATGAACTTTTGAATGTGCTGGATTGCAGTGTTAATTGGCTAAAATCCCTTTCTGTTGTCTAATAAAAAGCCCTCTCCAATCCACAAGGCAACGGATCTCTTGAAAATAAACTGTTTCTTAATACCGTTATTTTCAAAGGGGGCTTCTAGCTGGCAGGCCCCATCGCAGTCCCCTGACCCTTTCGAGAAGCTGTGGAGGCCGCTTCTGAGATGGCCAGGTGTGGACAAGTGTTCACCATGCCAGTGGGCCCCAGGGGAACTGATCTGATCCATCCATTCGGGATTTCTTTAAGCATGCGACAGCCCCAGAAACAACACAGATGAAGATCTCGTTGGTTTTCTCGGGGTCGAATTTGCCTTGGAATGGGGGGGCGGTATCGCGTCTGGGGCGTGCTGCCCCAGAGGGCTGACGCAGCCTCTCTCTCCCCGCAGAAGGCCGTGCCTGTGCTGTGGTCTTCGACTGCAAGTTCATCGAGACGTCTGCCGCCCTCCAGCACAACGTCGCCGAGCTCTTCGAGGGGGTGGTGCGGCAGATCCGCTTGCGCCGGGACAGCAAGGAGGCCAACGACAGGCGCATGTCCCTCTACAAGCGCAAGGAGAGTCTCACCAAGAAGGTGCGCCGCTTCCTCGACCGGCTGGTGGCCCGAAACAACAGGAAGGTGGCCCTCAAGGTGCGGTCCAAGTCCTGCCATGACCTCTCCGTCCTATAAGTGAGCCCGATCCCACCGCCTCCGGCTCCCTCTCATGCTTCCCGGGGACTCGGCCTCGGCTCCGACATGTACACAGTGATTTGCCAGCTCTCTTCTGTGCTAGTGTCTCTCGGGGCAGGAGGACCTTCTGGCAGCTGGGCTGCCGGGGTGGGCCCTGTGCCGGCACACGACCCCAGTGCCGCTCGGGGAGACGCTGCGTGGGTCGACTGCTCGGCCTGCCGACCCCGGGGCCTGGTGGGGAGGCAGCTTCGTGAACCATGGCCTTGGTACAGGTCTCTGGGGGGTGGGGGGCCGCTCCACAGTGCTGGTCCTGGAGGAAGAGAGACGGCACTAGATGCCACATCAGACTAAATGCCACATCAGACTGCTCCGTCCCCCTGGCCCCAAAGACTTTTGATGGTGCCTCCCTGGCTGCGCATGTTCAGGTTCCCCGATGGGAGTTGCGTTTCCAGCTTGCTCCTACTGCATACCTAAATTCTGTAGCTTAGAGGACAGAAGCAGATCTCGGGTCAGGTGGAGGCGGTGGCCACTCTCCCCTCCCCCCTTCAGAAGCAACATAACTTTAAATGCAGATGGTCCCACCAAGTGGGGAACGGACTACTTTCTGTACTGCAGAGGGTCTTCAGGAGAGTGGCCAAGGGGTGCATTTGAACACATCTTCCTGTGTGAGTGGAAGCGATGGAGGGGAGGGGAGGGGAGGGCTACACGTTCTGAAAGAAGTGTCCTTTCACAGTTTCCTGGTACTTTACCCTGACCTCAGATAGATAAATTCCCGAGAGGCGGAAAACAAAACGGAACAAACTGGAGAACCAGCAGAGGGGAGAAGCCTTTGGATGCTTCCAGTGCCTTTAGCAGTCACAGTTCAACAGGCAAAGCCCTTCCTGTGTTGAAGGTGGGAGGGAATCTACCTTGGTTGAAACTCGGCCTGCTGTGCAGCGGTTGAAGGCAAGGAAGCCCTTCCTGGAAAGTCGCTAAGAAGGGCTGTCCTGCTGGTGTGTCCCTGCCTGCAGCGCTTGTTGCAGCTCCCCCAGCAGTCTGGGGGCAGGTCCAGCCTGAGGGCTGCTCATGGAGGTGCACGTGCGAACCGGGGTGCTAACCCCAAACTCTCAACATGGCCAGCAGATCTGCACAAAGACCTGGCTAAGGCCACTCATCATTGGTCCTATTTTACAGAAGAGGAACACTGAGGCAAAAAGAGAAGGGATGAGCATGAGGGCAGGTAGGGCAGAAATCGTGGAACGGCAACAAAGCTCTCAGTTTCAGTTACTGTAACTGAAGGAGGTGGGAGTCAGACGCTCTGGCCGAATGACTGAGAGGAGAGACTTCAGCCGATCCTGAACTCCTTTCTGTCCACTCCTGGTGCAGGATATGTTGGGGCCTGAAGTTTTGCAGTCGGCGTCTTTTTGTCAGTGCCCACCTAGCTAAAATAGGAACATGCCTGCAGTCAGGAGACCCCTCTGTTTCTGAGGGCTGAATGGTGTCTGCCGTTCCACTTTGCACAGCTGAGGGGTCAAATCCTTGAAGGTGGGGTGCATCCATGAAGAACTAGCAAGCTTTGTTGTCCGTTGAGTTGGGTCTCTGCCTGTTAATTTTCCGAGAGAGATGCTGGGGCTCAGGCCCACCTCGACAGGGAACCTGGGATGTCCCCGCCCCAGATCCCAAGAAGTCATTCGTCATGGCAAAGGGCGTGCACACGCACGCTCACAATCCGTTCAGCAGTCTCCTTCACAACTAAGTGCTCCCCAGAGCAGTGAAACAGGTGCCGCCAGCTCACACAAGATCATTCTTCCACCCCTGAAAGATTTCTGGTGGCACAAAGCGTCTCTGGGCAGCCCTCTGGACAGACGTAGGCCTCGCTTGGGCATCTCAGGCTCAAAGGTCCCACCTTCCAAAAGTGGCCAGGGGCTTCCTCCACCATCAGAACTGGACCTGGAAGCAGGTGCTTCTCTTAAACGTCAGCCTCCGCTCAAGTTGCTACAGGTGCCCTTTTAGCACAGCACAGTGGCTGGATGCATCCTCCCCAAGGTGTCCCGATCGATCGCTGGACACCTTTCCTGAGGACTTCAAAAGGGAGCGCTGCCTGGAAGGGGCTGGAAGAGTGGGCGGCCCTCAAGCCGAGGAAAAGGGCTGGGACAGGCAGCTGGTAGGTCGGGAGACAGACGCAGCATCTGGAGAGTCTCTAGCAGAAACGGGGTGCAGCCGGGGAGGAGGTCTGCCCACGTCGCCTCTGGGGCCCTGCCGTCTTTATTTTAACAGCCTGCTTGCTCCCTATGGGCACCGCTTGTACATTTGTAAATAAAGCTACTACAACCTGGACGATGCAGGTGTTCTTTCCTCCTCCAAAGAAGCCGAGCGTGGTCGTGCTTCCGCTGGAACGCCTTGCTCCCGGGGAAGCACGGGACAAGGAGCGCTGACATGCGGCCCCTGCAGTGAGCGCCGCTGCTGGCTTCATCAGACTGCCAGGGCCCAGCGCCAGGCCCGTCCCCGCTTGGGGAACGGCTCCATCCCGGGGTCAGGTCGGAAGTTTCCATTGCTGGTGGGAGCAGCGCGGGGAGGCAAGCCAAGGAGAGGCGAAGCTGAGGCGCGGCGCAGGCATCCATCTTGTCGGGAGAAGGGACGCAGCCGCCTCGGCCGCACTCCGGATCCCCCAGAAGCGGACTGGCAGCTGAGCAGGCTGCGTCTGTGCCCGAGTTACAAGAATTCCTGATGCTCTAATTTGCTTCCCATCAGGGGAGGTGCTAGGTGTCAGATGGGCTAGTGCTTGGACCCACAGGACAACACAGAACACCCCCCTGTATAGGCTGACTTGCCCATGGCAGAGGCCGGACCCCTCTGCTCGTAAAAGGGGATCTGTGGACGGAGGAGAAGGGCAGTCAGTCCAGGGCCAAGTTCCACCGCAGGGAAGCCTCAGTGCCCACGTTCTCGGGGGCGGCGTTCGTGGCGGGAGGAGGTGGGGGCAAAGGCAGAGGGCCAGAAAGCCCAAGAGCGCCTTTTAGCTTGAAGACTGCTGCTGCTGGCCACCAAGGCCGCCTGAGGGGTGCTTCCACCTTTTGAGACTAAGGGAAATTTCATTTGGGCCAAAGTTCGGAGACCACGAAATGCGTGGCTGCTGGGGGAGGGGGTGGCGCCAGGAGCCAGAGGTCCTGCAGCCCTGCTGTCAGCAAAGTGGCCCCCGGCTGGCCCCTGACTTGGGACTGGGCTGTGGCCCAAACCTGTGCAGCCCACCTCTTCCCGCTTTTTGTGGCTGGCTGGCTAGCCCGGGGTGGCCCGTGCGGAATCGCTCTGCCCGGCTGTTCCAGGACCGCCTCCGCCTTGTCACCCTCTGGAAATGGATCTCTGCACATGGGCAGGCGGCAGAGTCGTTGTGGTTGGACTCCTCGGCGTGGAGGCTGCCAGCTCCCCGCAGCGCGACTGCTCCGAGCTGCACAAATCAGAAGAGCGTTCCACTCGCACGATGTACAGAAGAGACAGGATGCACCCCCGGCCCAGGGGCGGCCGGGCTGCCTCCTCCCCTCCCTGCCAGCGCTGCAAAATAAAAACAGAAAAACGAAATCCATGTTCTCATCTGGCAGTGGGAGGTGAAAAGGAAAGGCCGGGGGCGGAGAGGGGCGGGAAGCAGCGCCGCTGTCCTGATGGAAAATTGGCAAGAGGCAGCGGGCGGAGTGGAAAGAGTGAGGTCGAGCCCAGAAAAATGCAGGGCCCAAAGGGAGGGAGTCGGAGGTGGCGGGGGGGGGGGTAAGATAACAGCTGGCTTTCGGTAAAGCTGGCAGAAGAGGCGGGCTGCGGCTCGGTGGTGAAGCAGATGCGCTGAGACATGGAGAAGTTGCCGGGATGAAGCCACAGCTCCTCCGGTCAGGGAGTCTTAAGAACGGGGAGCCTGGGGTTGAGAGTGCTGGCCTGGGACTCGGGAGCTGCCTTGCAGAGTTGTTGTGACAATGAAGTGGAGAAGAGGAGGGTTATGCAAACTATTTTAGGACCTTGTGCAGCAGACAGACACTGGTACTGCAACAAGCAGGGCCCATTTTCAGCAGCGTCCAGCTCTGGGCCATGTTGAGAGCATTCCTGAACATGTGAAGAGTGCCCTTTGCTCCCAGGACAGCCAGGTCCTCTAAGCCATGAGCAGAACCTGGTAGTTCAGGGACCACTGAGCTTGTAAATCAGTGGGTGAAGCCGCATTGCGATCCCACATGGTGTGCTGGAAAAAGCCAGGCTGCACGTTTGGAGGGTGATGCAGGATGCAAGACTGAGGGTCCTACTGGCACACAGAAGGCCCCCTCACCCTGAAGGCTGGCGCCTTCCCCTGAGGCCACCCTGCAGGACGCTAACACCCTGGAACTTGGCGTTGGATTTCAAGAACCGGGAAACCTATTTACTCCTAAGGAGATCCGTGGTGTGTTTCCGCCATCCCACCTCCTGCCTCGACGAGCAACCTCAGAGTCGGCGACACTGAACTGCCTACGGTGGACCAGGCGTGATCCGTGCGTCTCTGCTCCCGTTCAAACGGCACCGAAGTGACCCGTGGGTCTGTGCGGGGAACCCAGCTCCCCTTGCTGTCAGTGGGGCTCGTGCAAAAGCTCTCTCGGGTGGATTGCAGCCAGGACTGCTCTGCATTTATTGAATGCCCTTCGGAAGCATGCAAATAAGGCAGGTGAAAAAGGCATCCTGGAGACCGAGCAATCGTGGGCGGGCCGCTGCTTCAAGTTCACTCCCTCTGTCCGCAGCTCCCTGGCTGACGCAAGAGTGAACCCCAACTTGCTGAGGGGAGCATGAAAGGCAGGCCACCTGAAGACAGACTAAGTAGTGCTGGGATGCTGCCAGCTTGGTGTTCCCACAGAGCTCTGCTTCTCCTCTGCAAGCCTTTGTATCTACACCAGCACTTTTGCCACATTTCGTTCCATTTCATTTTCTGTAGGCAAGTTTCTGTGTATTTTGAGCATTTCCCCCACTTGATAGTTCTACGAAATTCACAAAAGATGCTCGGACTAGAATCCTATTTGAGTAAGATATTAGGAATAGAAATAGAGCATGTTCTCTGTCCACATGGACTCAGAATTATTCCAGCAGGATCCAGCATCCCTTCACGGCACCTGCCTTTGCCCCCAGTGTTTCTCTGTGAGGGTTCCTGTTGAGAGATGCTTCCTCCTCCTGGAATTGCAGACATATATACATCCCACCTATAAAAAGGAAGCTGAATTGGTTCATACACCACCCCCAATGGAGGGGAAGTGTGGAATTTTGCGTTAGAGCCAAGTAGGCTGAGCAACAGAAATGAACGTGTCCCCTTTCCATGATAAATCGTGACAGATTCCCAAGTCTTGAATATGCATTTCGGCAGCACATGCCTGGGCTCCCGGAACACACTGCCATGTCCAGCACTCCTGATAGGCTGGTTGGTTCTCCTGACAGACCCCAATTTCATGCTTGCTGTGATGTTGTGAGGGAAGTTTGCCCAAAGCTCTTCCATGCGGGGAACACTTGGCCTGAATCTTCCGAATCGACTGCAGCCTCACTGCTGGCCCTTCCGCATCCACCGTCGCCCAGCTCTCCTCTGCCCTGAGCTGTCGAGCTTCTGTTCTTGGGTGCTTCACCTTCAGTACCATTTCCCAAAATACATTACTGGCCACTGGAGCTTTCAAAAAATTGAGCCTGCTAAATGGAAGCAAAGCCTCTTAATGACACAGCACCACAGCAAGCTAATCAAACTACATCCATCAAGCTTGAACTGGGGCGTCAGCTTTCCCCAAACTGGTGTCCTATACATGTGCTGGCCTACACCTCCCATTATCCCCAGTCAGCCACACAGTGTATCTAATTCAATGCACCTGAAAAGCACCAGCCAGGAGAAGGGTGTGTTACAAAGGTTCCAGATTTTGCTAAACATGGAAATAACGTTTTGTGGCACCTTCAGGATACAGAGGTGATAATTTTAAGAAGCTGTAAATGAGGGGCACCTTGCAATTGATGGAGCGGACTTTAGTTCACAAACATGACCGTGCCAATTAACCTCTTCCTCCAGTGCCTCGTTTTGAATGCATCCGTTTTCTTCCTTTCAGCTTTTTTCACGATCCAGCTCTCATGCTCATACATCGTGATCGGGAATACAATAGCATGGATGGTTTTGGCCTCGATCTCCAGTGAAACATCCTGCGACTTCATGATCTTTTCTAGTTCCGCCATGGTTCAGTTGCAGTTCTGCCTTTGCTTTTCTTTCTTCACTTTCCTTGGGAGTCATTTCATTGCAGTTTTCTTTGAGTAATATCATCTGCGTATCTTCAATTAGTGATGTTCCTTCTGCCAATGTTCACACCTTCCTATGATCCCAATCCAGCTTTTCTTACTTGATGTTTTGTGTCGAGACTGAACAGATGCGTAGATAAAATATACCTTTGTCTGATGCCCTTGCCTATAGAAAGCCATTCGGTTTCTCCATATTCTGGCCTAACAGTAGCTTCTTGTCCAGCGAGGTGATTAAGTGCTGAGACATATCCACTTCCTTTTGAATCATCCGCAGCTTGTCATGAGCCATGCAGTCAAAGGCTTTTCTGTAGTCTCCGAAGCATAGGCTGAGCTTCTTCCGAAATTCTTTGGTGTGTTCCACTAACCCACATATATTTGTGATACGATCTTGAATGCCTCTTCCTTTTCAGATTCCATCTTGAATGTCAGGCATTTCTCACTCCATAAAGCATGCCGTTCCTTGCTGCAACACCCCGAGCATCACTTTGCTCGCATGGGAATGGAATGCATACTGCACCATTATTTTCTTTTCCATATTTGTTGGTGGTTTCTTGCTAGGATCTGGACTGATTCAGCCTCTGCAGCTCGGAATAGTTCTAGTGATACCCTTAGCGGCTCTGGATACTCTGTTCCTTCTAAGCTATTGCCCATCATTCAAACATTTCAAAGGGATGCCTCCCTGCTTTTGCTTTACATTTACAATCAGGAGAATGGTCTGAATGAATTTTTGTATTAGTATTTTCACTCAGGGGTTTCTGGCTTCCCCGAGTTCATTCCCCAAGAGTAAAATGTCTCCTTTTTGCCTCACAGGTTAAATGCGGCAGAAGGTATGTCACAACACATAAAAATGTTTTAATAAATAAATAAATAAATAAATAAATAAATAAATAATAACACGAGGATTCCTGTTCCCTACACACTGCACTAAATAAGCTTTTATTTCCTCAGTGTGCACTGCCAGATCTCTTCTCCGAACAAGTGACATGGTGCCCTTGGATGTTTTCCCTTTAGAAATGCTGTTGAATCTCCAGCAGTTCACCTTGTACTGCATGGGCTACGCTGACTGGCCGCGGCTGTCC